CGCTCCTGGAGCCGCCCGGGCTGTGTCTGTGTCAGATCCCGCTGGGAGAGGACAGAGCAGCGCTGATAGGCGCGAGGGTTTGCGGAGGAGAGGCCCTTCCCAAGCCGGGAGTTTGCCTTCCGTGCGCGTCGGGCAGATAAGACTCCCAGCGGGGACGGAAGAGACCCGGCAGCAGACAGGAGCGCTGTTGACACTCTGTGCCTGCCATACTAAAGGTCCTAAATCATACATAAAGCATCATAAATCTATCCAAAGAGGAGACCATCTAATAAAAAATGCATACTATTTGGCACAATTGCTACTTGTGATTGGTCACTTTCTTTGGCAGGCACAGTTCCTCTTTTTTTTTTTTTTTTTTTAAAAAAAAAGGGCTGTTAGTTGTTAGAGTGAATTGGCCGTGTGCTTAAGTTTTACAGAAGCAAAATTACAGCAAAAAGAAGAATTTGCCACCTTGAATCTGTATGAAGGCTGAAAGTTTCTTAAAGATGCTATGCTGTACTCTTGATTTCATGTCAGAGGTGTAGTTTTAGAGCTCTCCTGTGGCTGCTTTGAGAAATGTCATAGTAAAAAGGGCCTTCAATCCACAGCCTGTGTAATTAAAACCTGAACTACCTGAAAAAAAATTCAAATCACATACACTGAGGAAATACTCTCTCCTCCCCTTGTAAACAATCTGTTTATCAAACTGACATTCCTTAGATAATTTGAGAGCCCAGAACAGGTGACTGCACAGATCTGATTTTTAAAAAATGAACATAAGGTGTTGATCTGAACAGATTTACTGAATGTGTTATGCCAAGGCAGGCCTACCCTATTTCCATGTAAAGCCTTGCTAAGTAAACATCTAAAACCTCCTTCCTTAATTGATAGTGAGTGACATGATCCAGCTTGTCTTAAATAAACTTCAGGTCCGGACTACTGAATCAAATTTAAAATGGTTTTGCATGCTGGGAGATATTCCAACCTGTACACGCCCTTCTTGTACATAGCTGACTTTGAAAATGACCAACGGTGAGGCCACTCCCCAGAGTAAACTTCATTCAAGTGTTAGCCAGTATTGCAGAGTGCATAAAAAGTCACTTTATCAAGAATGTTTCTGCTGTGGAAGACATTCCACTGTTGTGCACAGTTTTGACCAATATTAGTGTCCTAGTATTGAAGTTTAGTAACTGTTCCCAAAGTTCTGTGAAAAGAAATTTACCACATATTTTAAGTATTTATGTTCTGTGGTTTGTGTTGCTATTTTTTTTCTTTTAATATAACCTTCCTTTAGGTTAACTGCTTTCAAATAATCTTTGTCTACACATTACCATACTCTGTTACTTGCAGGGACCTGGTGAGGCACTCTAAGTGTTGATTATGTAAAACCTAATAATTTGAGCCTTAATTGGATGAAGCATACTGTTAAGTGTCTGCTGATCACTTTGCAGTACCAAATTTTGTCTGTGTCTCAATGAATTTAAGCTCAAATGAATCTTGGTGTAAGATTCAGTGGAATGCTTTCAAAACAGTTCTGAAATAAGGTTTCTTTTGATTAATCTTGCAGAAAAAGCTGATAGCCTTCTGAATCTCAATGAAATTATCAATACAGATTGCACTGAGGAGATGGCAGAGGGGATACGTTCTCAGAATCACACTGAACATACTATTTGTGACTCCATTCATAGCTGATTTTATAACAACTTTCTTGCACAAAAGTGTTTATGTTTGTTACTATGGGATGTTATAAATAGTCTAGGTTATTTTGTACTTTGAAGTAGTTTTTACCATTCATAGAAGTGAGGATGATTTCCTAGCATGGAGGATAAGCAATGAGAAATAAGTGATGCAGTTGTTTGGGGAAAATTTGCAAGTGTGATGTTTGAAGTCAACTGTTCCTTCAGTTGCTCCCTTTGCTCTATTCTGCTAGTAAAGCAGGGTCATTACAACAAATTCTTGTTTAAGAACATACTCAGGCCCATATATAATCATATATGATTATCTTCTCTAATATGTACTTTAAAACATACTTTTGAAAAACTGAAGTTGCCCATTAACATTTGAGCTGAGAAGGTTTTTTCTGATTTTTAGAAAGTGCTATTGTGACACAGTAATCCACTTTGACATTGTAGTCCTCAGATTCCTTAATGTAATAAAATAGGTAATGGTCACACACGTGTGATTCTTGGGGCTGTTCTGTGCAGGGTCAGGAGCTGAACTTCTAGTGGATCCCTTCCAGCTCAGTATATTCTAGAATTTTAAACATCTATGATACTCTGAAACTTTGTCATCAGAACAATTGGAGAATGTCCTTGTAGAAAATACCCTGCTGATGAACTTGGAAGTAAGCCTCAGGTTGTGGAGTGTGGCTTACTCATCGTGTGTAACAGCACTGTTGGAATTATGGCAGTTGGATGGAAAATTTGAGATGCAAAAAGCCAATAGGAGCTGGAGCTGAACAACAGAGGCGTGCATTCTTGGGAAGTGACATCTCATATGTAACAACTGAAACTCTCTTGCTCAGCTAACAAAACAGAAAGGAATGTGCCTTTATTTGAATAGAACTGTAGGAGTACTGGTATAAGACATATTCAACTTTTTGCAAGAAGAGCTGAATTTAAATTTTGCAAATTTAAATTGCCTTTAGGATTTTTACTTTTTGCAAGAAGAGCTGAATTTAAATTTTGCAAATTTAAATTGCCTTTAGGATTTTTTTTCATGTGGGTACTACATGCACTTTGTATCCCTCTCTTTGCATTTTGGAACTAAGGGATGTTGACTTGTGGGCACAACTAGCATGGAACCTGCATTGAAGGCATTCATGCATTTCATATATTTTGGGTTTGGGAATTTTTTCCAAATTCCCCTTCTTCTGTGAAAAATAGCAATGCTGAGATTTGTTTTCACAAAAAAACTGTTGAGATTGACATTCTATTTGTCCTGTGTTGCCTTACAATAGAACATTGTTTAAGACTTCAGCCTTAGACAGTTAAAAATGTCAAATGTGTATTTAATTGCTGTGCAACAGGACAGATAATGGCTGGCACAGTTCTCGCAATAATTTATGTGCCACCAAACAAGTGCAGTTTATATGCTTCCCTTTAAAGGGCATTAGTTCAATTGCACAATTTCTTGTCTCAACCTTAAAACCTAGATCAGAAAAGTCATTAAGTATCCTTTAGATGTGATCAAACTGAGTGATAATGACTTGCAAATGCTATATTTAAAACAAGCCTTTTAAAACTGAATACTGTAAGGAATCACTTTGTGCTAGTGTGGAACACTTACTAAAACAGCTATTTGATATGGAATATAATTAGGGTACTCAAATTTCCAATGAGTAGGAAATGAAAAAGAATGTTATATAGCTTAATTAGTATCTTTTTATATGTTTTTCTGTATAGAGATATCTTAATAAAAAGGCTATTTACCATAATATAGCTAGGTGTAATATCAGTCTAGTCTTAAAATTTAAGCTTGAGGCAAAGAAGTTCACCTTTTGATTTAGAAGGTGTAATAACAATTTTTTTTTAATATTGACAGCCACGCTTTTATTTGTTGAAACTTTTAATGGCCTCTTGACAATCGCTTCAATGTTGTTTATTTTGTTAGAGGGCTAGTGCCAGTCAGGTGACGTGACCAGATGCTTTAGCAATGTGTCAGAAAACGCTGCTAGCAAGACTTGACAGATCAAGATTGTCATGTGATGATTCAGGATTTAAAAAAACCAAACCTTTCAAATATTTCTGATGACTTTGGGGTCTATAGGAGCCCCTCTTCTTTGATTTTGCCATTGCTCCTTTCTCTTTAGCCTGATTTTCTTTCAGTGCCAAGCTAGTTGGAGGCAATAGTTGATTTAAGGACTGAAATTTGGAACCTGCTGCCCACCTATGCTAAACAGAATTCCATCATCTTTTACTCTGAGCTGTTACCAGTTAACACACTGGAATGTCTGGTAACACATGACTTATTGACCACTCAGAAACTCCTTGAAAGAACCCGTGCCAGGCGCGAGAACCTGCAGAGGAAAATGGCAGAGCGGCCGAAGATGGGAGCGAGACCCACAATGCAGACCAAGAGGGCCAGAGAGCCTTTGGCAGAAACTGGTAACCAGGCACCTCTTCCCAGTGACGAAGGTATTTAGTGGCATGTTTAATAAAGATTGTTTTGATACCAGTCTCATCGTTTTTTCCAAAGGGAAAGTGAAAACACTGAACATTTACCTTATACTAAACAGTGATGGATGCAGTTACTTGGCCACTAGGGCTAGTTTGTGTTTAGCTGGACCTGAGAGCAGATGTGCCAAGTCATTAGTAAGCTATTTAGAAATAATTGCGTAATGTAAAGAGAGTGCCTTGTGCTTGGTAGATTTGGGAAGTGCATTTTTTTGCGAAGCATATCAGAGTATTCATAAATCATAACTTTATTTGTACTACTGTTATGTGTTGTTGGAAAATATTTTAGATTGTTTGAATACTAATTTGTTTGAATCTCTGACCTATCCAGTAAAACCAGATACAAAGCCATCACCATCAAAAAGGCTCTGCCCTAATGATGTGGAGACTCAAGCTCCTAGTTCAGAGAATGTACAGCCAGTTGCTTCAAGTTCCACAAGCCATGACTCTCCTCAGATGACTTCAGAACCACACGAAACTGCTTCTAACAGAGCTCCATTGGTTCAGCCTCTTGAGAATGCAAAACAAAACTCCAAGTCAGAAACTCCTGCGGCCCTTTCAGTCAAAACACGTATGCAGAAGTTGGCAGAGCAGCGGCGCTGCTGGGATAGTGAGGGTATGTTTTACTTGCTAAGCACCACTGGTGTCTCTCAGTGTTTGCATTGATGATTATGTTGGCTAGAAGGAGATAATGTTGTCTGTGGGAAGATTAATGTGTTTTTAAAGAATTCTAAGACAATACTAGGGCAGGCCCAAAATACTGAAGCTGTTATCTACAGCTTAATTTTAAGCTTATTTTTCTCTGCTACTCTCATGCCTTGCTCCTCACAACACTGACATAAAATTAGTAAACTGCTTGATTAAAAATCAGTGCCTCTAGGGCTTGTAGTTTGATTCTGTTGATGGCAGGAGCATCTAATTGTTGATAAACTCAAGGTAAACTCAATATATACAATTATATGTATCTCAGTATAATTTATTAGCAAAGTAAATGTGTTTTCTTTTTTCCAGATCCCTCTGAATGTGTTCCTCTGTCTCCTCTCCAGTCAAAAGATCTGTGTGTTTCTCCACCTAAGCAGACATCCAGTGCCCTAGCAAGCGAAACCCCTATTGGGAGGAGAGGCCGTTTAGCTAACCTTGCTGCTACAATTGGTTCCTGGGAAGATGACCTAAGTCATCCATCTGCAAAGCAAAACAATGCACAAGAACAGCCTGGCACTACTTGTTTATCCAAATTGTCCACTACAAGTGGAGCATCTGCTAGAATCAATAGTAGCAGTGTAAAGCAGGAAGCTGCATCCTGTTCTCAAAGGCTTGTTGAGGCTTCTATTAATAAACCAGCAAACTCAAAGAGAGCGGTGAGTGTCTGATTTAGTTGCTGATTAAAAATTGATTTGAGTATTGTATTGGGGTGAACAAATGTTAGCACATAACTGTTTAATCTGAATTTAAAGATTTGGTGTGAGCAGTCTTAGCCTATTTACAACTTTTGCTTTATTGCAATCCCAGATGCCCTTTTTTAATAGCATATCTGAAACAGCTTAAAATTCCTTTTGTTGCAACTTAAAGATGAGAGTACTTATATGTTTTGTTGATGGCAATGTACTTGATTGCTGCTCTTGACCATCAGAAGGGGCTTGTTACAGAGATACTGGGTTTCACTCTGTAACTTCATATAGTTGATTGACTGAAATTGTGAATGTTATTGCTGTATGAAGACTCAATCAGAATGATGAAATAAGTAGGACCAGACACTTATTGATCAATTTATGCAATTTTTGCCATGACAATATCTGCCATGTGCATTCTTGTTTAGGGAAATGTGGGATAGTATTTAAAATAGCTGGCAAGAGCATCAAATGCTGAAACAATTTGAAATACTGGATAAAAAAAAAGTACTAAAAGCTTAACACTTGTTCTTGGCTTTTTCTTTTGTTGAAGGAACAGGTGTATCGGGTGATGGTATGCTATGCAGAGTGCTTTCATTCTTTTTCCTCTTGAGAGAATAAGAACACAAGTCTCATCTTGTATTTTTTTTTCTCCTGTTAAGGATCCAAACAATTCTTTAACACAATCTTCAAGAGTCACTGCTCCCTGTTCTAAAGAATCTGAAGTACAGCAACGGCCGGCAGAGAATCCCTGCAGTCCCCGGAAAGCTGAAGAGCGTACACAAACAGCCAAGTCAGCTTTGCCTCAACCAGTTCAGTCCAAAGCAGAGCCAGTCAAAGGAACACATGTGCAACTTGAACCTAAGGGTAAACCCACAACACCAGGTAGGCTGTTTCCTGGCTTCAGTAAATAAATATTCATTCAAATTAGGCCTATGTGTGCCATGTTGAAAACAACATACTAGTTAAGAATTTAAGGTACCATACCAGATAATACCTACTTCCAGCTGTAACTTCAATAAAAAGCTGATGAGTTCTGTGATAATTATTTTAAGTTATACAGCTTCTGTATTTTGCAGGGGATGTTTTCTTGGATGTGTTTTTTAGTAACTCTTAAGAACAAAAGCAGCCTAAAATGTAATTGAGACTATTCAAAATTTATTTCAGATTGTTTGGTACTATATGTATCCATTCAATATATGCATATTTAGAAGAAATAGAATCTTGTTGCCACATAGGTGCTCTAACTTTGCAGTGTCTTTATTTTCAGTGATAGCATTGATGTCAAAACAAGTGAACATCCTCAGTTTTTAATTCAACCGCTTGTTGTGTCAGAAACCTGGACTAACAGCTTGCACTCTTAAAAATGATGGCCAGAAAAGCATGTTTTAGATATGCTAATAGTAACAGATAAGCTCAGTGAAGCAGGATGGATGCCAAACAACATATCCTCCTCATGCACTAGAATGCTTATTTCTGTGAAAGAAGTGAGGCTGGTTATAGAGGAAATTTAGAAAAGACAAGCCAGTTTAAATAACTGATGTATTTACACATAGACTGTAGTAAGAGAGAGACATCTACTTGCTTTGATTTACTGTTTTATTAACATCACTGTTATGATTTGCATTTCAGGTTCAGTTTGTATAAAGTATAATGGAATAAGAGCTGTAAAGGAGGCAGCTTAATTGCTTCACTGGGAACCTTCATCAGGATACAAAATTGCAGTGATTTCTTTAATATTGAGAGTTTCTTTCAAGGCAAAACAATTGTTCTTGTAGGGGGATCTGGAATTAAGCCCTTCCTGGAACGCTTTGGGGAGCGCTGTCAGGAGCGTAGTGCACGCAGCCCTGCTACGAACACTCCAGGGTGCAGAACGCCCACTGTTACCCCAAACACAAGGACAATCCAGGAGAGGCTTCTCAAACAAAATGAAAATTCCTCTACTGCCAGTTTAGCACTTCAGCTTAAACAGGTATGACTTGTTACATTCATAGCCAGCTTATAAGCCTGGGGAAGGTTATTACTGTTCTTCCTCTACCTGAGGAATCTGAAGTGTTGTGACACCTTAGGGCTGTCAGCTTTTCTCCCATTTCCCTTCATTTGTTTAGGAACGTGAACGGGAACTTGCATGCCTTCGTGGCCGATTTGATAGGGGCAATCTGTGGAGTGCGGAGAAAAGTGACAGTTCAAAGAGGAGGCTTCCAGAAGCTAAAATGGTAATGTGCTACCTCATCAATCAAAATATGATACTTTAAATTGCTTTAACATTTTCTGAATACAAAGTTAGATATGGAAATGTAGATAAGGGATGAAAACCTATGCTTTGGGAGTGCCCGGGCTAGCAAGACCACTTGTCTAGTGACTTGTTTGATTATTAACAAATTATTAGTTTATTTACCTCTTGTAGAATCAACCCAAAAAAGTGATACTGCTTTGAGCCAATTGACTTACTTACTTTTTGATGATAAATGTGGGGGTTTTATGTTCTATAACTGCAAAAGCAAAAGAGCTCCTCATGCAAGCATTTAAGATTTACTCCTTCAGATAAATATCTTGGATAAATAAATAGGGTATTGGATAGGCAACCTCTTTTTCCTAGCAGATGGTAAAACGTATTTTTTTCTGGTAGTTTTTTAGTTGCTTTTAACGTTACCTCCTGAATGCATTCTGGTTTTATTCTTGCCAGGAAAGCCAATCTCAGGCCAGTCCAAAACATCCTCCTAGTTCAGATGCCTCTGCTCTTGGATCTTCAGAAGACACATCAGCAGGTGACAGGCCAGCAAAGTCTCCCAGCGTGGTGTCTTCAGGTGAGAACTGCCACAGTTTGCCTGTGACTAGTGCTGGACAGGAGCACTGCACTTGATATTCATGAGCAGAGAAAGAGGCCAGTAACACTGATGTGTGCAACTGGACCTCTCCTTTGGTTATCTTATTTAAATCTTATATGATAGTAGTATTTGCACTCCTATACCACTTGAAAGGATGGCAAGGCAAGACTGTCTTTTTGTTTTTCAATAGGTATACCTCTGTTTCAAACTTTAATGGAGGTTAAGGGCAGGGAAGTGAATGAGAATTGTCAGTTACATATTTGGTCTACCCTGTACCTGAGTAACCAAATTTCCACAAGAAGCTAATGGGGGGAAATGCTTCCCTTGTCAGTATCCCTTTGTGATATTAATTCTTATGGTAGGACACCTGAAAAGAATTGTGAGGTGCTCCTGGAATCCTTTCTGGTGCTTACCTAGCAGAAGAATCTTCATCTCTCTATGAAAAAAGTGTGAACTTCGTTAACGCTCTTGGTAGACTGTTCACTTGAAAGATCTATCAAATGTCCTTCTAGAAAAATTGGGTTTGCATGCAGTGGTTTGTTTTGTGGATTTTTTTGTTTGTCTTTTTAAAATTTTTCCTTTTTGCTCTTGAGTGTCTGTACTCTGCTATGGTTTCAGCACTGTTTCTTGCAGTCTCAGTTTTCTGATTATAATATAGAAGTCTAGATGTACAGGTTGTGGAGGGTATTCTAATGGAGTTTTTTGACATGTGGCTAACTGGAATATTTAATCTGGTGGTCTTTTTGTCAGTAAGACTTCTAAAATTCAATAATTAAAATAAAGGCTAAACATAATACTTCTTTTCTTTATAAACCCCTTAGATACTTCTAAATGTGAAGAGACTGATAAATCCAGTCCTCTGAAGACTGCAGAGTCAAAGAGCCCTGTAAAAGCGATGTCTGTTTCAAAATTTGAACAACTTGATGAGAAACCAAAAGGTTTGTATTGAGTAGACTTATATTAATGACTTAGCTCTCTATGGCTCCTTGTCCGGGACAGTGTCAATAACCTTCAAGTCTGAACAATGAATTCAAATGAAAACATTTGCTGATCCCCATGTGTTTTGTAATGAAATTTATATAAAACAAATTAGGAAACTTCAGTTATCATACATAACCCTTGCCTCTTGACATTCAAGTCTTCAAGGAATATTAAAAAGCTCATATTAAAGGCTCATTGGAAAAGGACAGAAATAACTATCCTACTCTTTGATTTGCAGTTAAATTTCAGATCTATTTGAACCAAAAGGTTGAAATTTGTATAAAATGTGCATCTATATATTTCCTTTCTGCATTGATTATGCAGAAGTAGTATATTAAGATAGCCATGGAAGTGTGCTTTTAGGTTCTATATGCCCAACTGCAAAAAGTCCTTTTTAATCAAGCTTGCTTGAAAGGCAAAACAAGTTTGCTTCTGTTTAATGAGAGTCTTGATGTTACTAATACATTTTAAAATGTCACCCTTCAGATGAAGTGTACGAAGGCAAAATGCGTGTGGATGACGAGATGAATAGCTCAAAGGTGATAAATGAGATTTTTGAAATTCTTCAAGAGGATGGTCCAGACATAGAAAAGCTGAAGAAAGAAATGAGCATGAGCCTGGAAGGTGAAAGTGATGAGGATGAGCAGGAAGAGTCACTGAACATTTCATCAATGTCTCTGTTAACCCCTCTAGTGGAATCTGTTGGTTCAGAGGTGAGAATTCAGGGAGGGTGGGGAAGGACTTTTTCATCACACAGAGGTGTCCAATTGGCTTGTGAGCTGTGATATTTTGTAATATTAGGATATGTGGGCGAATAAAGAAGTTTCAAATGGTATTTTGCTAATGAAAGCATAATGAGGCAAAGTTATTTTTCTCTGAAAGTAGTGTAGCATATTGGATGCTCTGCTAAACAAGTGGACTGCTAAACCTGTTACTAGTACTGGACTTGCAGTGCACTCCACCTGCATTCAGTGGAGTGACCACTGTTGAAAAGTCTGAAGAGAAGGAATTATGTAACTGCACTGATTTAGAAGCTAAAGGTGACATCTCATTGAGTTCAAAAATCTGTTAGTGTCCTTAAATAAATAAACTTGCTCTATGTCCGTACTTGTAAAATATCATCTGTTAAATAGTTTTAAGCAAATTTACTGTTTATATGTAAAACAAGTAAAGGAGAAAGAAAACAGATTATTATTAGTAGTAGTATTATGTGAACAGATAGCTGTAATATATTTTCTTTTCCTTAGGCCTTTGGTTCTCCTTCTAAGTCAACTGGGGAAGGTAGCAGTATCAGTGATGTCAGTCTGAAGTCTGAGAAGTTCCAAAGGACCAGAGTTCCCAGGGCAGAATCTGGAGACAGTATTGGCTCTGTGTCGGAAGATCGCAATCTTCCTTACAGGTAATAAACACAACCCAACACCCCTGATTCTGTGAGTGTTCAAGTTAAAACACTGGCTTTTTAAACTCTTCTAGTGATGCATACCATTAAAACTACAAATTAAGCTTTTTTTGCAAGATCTCAGCCTTTATCAAAAATTGTGTAGTCTTTTATGTTGCTTAAACTTAAAATCATCTGTTAGAATGCTTTCTTTAAAGCCATTTAGGCAAGTTGGAGAGCTTCAATGTATGATACATGCCTATGTGTCTTTTAAGAAGAGCTTTGCACACCTGTGAAACATTTTGTGATGTTTCCTTTTTCAAGTGTCGATGCATACAGATCCCAAAGATTTAAGGAAACAGAACGTCCTTCAATAAAGCAAATAATTGTTCGCAAGGAAGATGTGGCTTCCAGACTAGAAATGAGAAGAAATGGCCCATCTGATCAAGTCAACATCAAAAAGAAAATGCAGGTACCTAATATGCTTCTGAAAATCCTTTTTCTAATCTACTGTTTTCAAATTTCATTGCCCCTATGAATGTCCAGGATGTTAACATACTGCTTAGAACTGCAAAATAAGGTTGTTAGGTTATTTCTATTTTGCATAAATATCTTATGGTAGGGAATGATGATGATGCATAATTTGAACAGCTAATGCTTCACTTAAAAGGATCATGTTATAGATTAAGTCTGGAGAGAACAAGCCATTATTTTGATAAGAACACAGAGAATCAGTGTCTTAGCACTGCCTTTGAATTAGGCAGAATTTGTAAAAACCTACTTTCAGTAGGTAATATTCTGATCTTTACTAGTGCTTTGTTTGCACTAATCTCTATTGCTGAATTTCTGGTTAGTGCTGTTTTTTCTGGTGAAGGGAAGACTAGATGGGATATGGAACATACAATATTGGAGTCTTTCACTCCCCACTATACCTCTGAGATCAAAAAAAATTGTGCTGCAGTGTTCTTTTGCCGAAGTAATGGTTAACTGCGAGGCTTTTGTAGTTAAATAGATTGCTATTTAAAGGATCTGATTTTCTTTTGAAGCCTTGCCCCCCAAAAAGGCTCATCTAGAGACATTTCCTTGTTTGAATGCAGCACAAGATCTCTCTTCTTGATTATTGTTTTTATTTGTTTTCTCTAGGAATTGAACAATGAGATCAACAGGCAACAGACAGTGATTTATCAAGCCAGTCAAGCTCTGAACTGCTGTTTTGATGAGGAACATGGAAAAGGGTCACAGGAAGAAGCAGAAGCAGAGAGACTTCTTCTCTTTGCTAGTAGGTTTTTATACTCAAGTTCAATTCTTTGTAATGAACATTTCAACAAAGTTCATAATTTCTTCCTCACCATTTATTGTGTTACATTGTGGCCATTTATTAATAGTTCTTCTGGAAAAAATAACGATAATATCTGTTCTGTCTCTGCTCATTTTATAGGCAAGGGGATGCTTTTGTATCTTTTTTGACCCTTAAATATTAATAATTTTACAGTGTAATAGAAATATAAGTTACATTTTACATACTTAAGGCAGAAAAAAATTGTTCAGTACTTTTTCTTCTGTAGAACCGTAATTAATTTCTTTGTGCAGCTGAGAAGAGAACTGCTTTATTGGAAGAATTGAATAAACTGAAGAGTGAGGGACCACATAATAAAAAAAATAAAGCTGCTTCTACATCCGCTGAATTTGCTCCCTCCAGGGGATCTGTTTCCATTTCAGAAATGCGTCTACCTCTAAAAGCAGACTTTGTATGTGGTACAGCTCAAAAGCCAGGTAAAACTAGCAAACAAAAGCTTTATTTCTTTTCTCGTCCCTCTCATTCTCCCAACATGTATTTCTGGTTCATTCTCCTTGGGTTTTGGGGTTTTTTTGTCTTCTGCTGTGATGTTCTCAGAAATCTAGGGGTAATGAAAATTCAGCTATTACATTCAGTTGATCTGCTTCTGACTAACATTTCAATGTTTCAGTGAAAGCTGATGTGTGGTTAAGCTGGCAGACCTAAGTAAAATAAATAAGTAATAAGTAAAATAAATAAATAACTAAGATTATCTGCTGATCTGACTGAAAGTTCCTCTTCCCTTTCACACACTGGTTAGTGTAGGTCTGGCCTGAGATGCCCCAGGCAGTAAAGCAGTTGCTGTAAATCCTGTGGAGACAATTTAGTAGTAGACACAGCATAAAGAAAATAAAATTGTTTTAAGATTAAGTTTATAAGCAAGTCTCAGATGTAACTAAATGTTTTAAGAAGGGTGAAACAGAGATGTGCTTAATAGCAATGCAGTATACTTGAGAATTTTTTGAGACTTGGACTCCTCTGGCTAACCAAATCATCTGATGTGTGCTTACAGAAGCAGGAAATTACTACTATGTAATAATACTGAGATCTGGAGCAGAAAACATGGTTGCAACTCCATTAGCAAGTACTGCCAGCTCCCTGAATGGAGATGCTCTTACTTTTACTACGACGTTTACTATGTAAGTATAAAGAAACTCTTGAACCAGTTTTAACTCTGATGGTGGAGCATGCATAAAAACATTTATAGTCTTAGTTATAAGAATGTCATATTCTGCAACAAAGTGTGGAGAGATTTTGTGGTATAGCTATTTCCTCCTTCAAAAAATAGCTGGAAGGCACACTTCTCTCAAAAGAGCAACCTAGACTTATTCAACCATCCATCAGCTATTTTATCTCTTGCATTTTCTGCCTTTTGTTCTTTCCTGGAACACCTGCACTGACAGATGGATTGCTGTGCCTGAGATGTGTTTTTCTCTTTTGCAGCAACTAACATTTTATATAGCTATTTGGTTTTGGTATCTGGGAAAATAGTGCTCTTATAACTATAACTTCAACTCTCACATGTCAGCTGAAAAGGCATTGTGAGTTCAAATGACTGTTTGCTAGTAAGTCTTCAAAATAAATAAACTCTGTTTTTGAAGTTCGGCTGTACTGGAATTTTCACTTAAAGCTATTTACTCGAAAAACCCAATCTGTGACAGGGGAGGGTGTAATTTGAGAAATGGTAGATGCACATTATCTGCCTCTTGTCATCTCCTCTCCTTTTCTGAGTTCCAAAAAGTATTTTTCAGTAGTAATACACTAAAAGCTCCTTGGACACTTATAAGGAGCAAAAGGAGGGAAGAAGTAAAGAGTAATTTTAAAACCCAACAAAACCAACCACAACAAATGAAAAAAACCCCAAAACTCCACCACAAACAAAAGCAAAAGCCTTTTGCTTCGGTTAGTTTAACTTGTTTTTTCTTCTTCCCTTTAGGCATGATGTGTCAAATGACTTTGAAATAAATATAGAAGTTTACAGTTGGGTATGTATAGTTCCTGTGAAGAGGAGGTGTAAGGGAGAATGATGTGCTGTACTTTCTCAATACCTTTTTGCCTTACAGGTGCAGAGAAAAGAAGGTACAAGCACTGATAAAAGGAAAAAGACAAATAAATCTAAGGTAAATGAAACCTGAAAATCAGTAATGTAATGTTTCAACAGAAGGTGCTCTAGCAAAACTGACTGATAGTCTTACACAATCTGTTGCTTGCTTTTACTCCCTTCTTGGAACATCTGCCATCACAGATGGATTATGGAGACCTACAGCAATTAGTAGATTGGACCTGCAGCACTTAGTTGAGTCTGAAATGTATTGGTGGGGAAGAAGTATTACTAGTTCTGCAAAATGCTATGCTTTGCAGACATTTGTTTGTTAGGTGTGGGGCCTTCAATAGTGGTTTATTGCCCTTTTTCTCTACATCAGTTAAACTATGCCAGTCAATACACCCTACCCTGGAGTTTGATTTGTCTTAAAAGTTTTATTGATCAACTAAAAACTTCTTTCTCCCCAATATTAAATATAAGCACTAGATGCTTACTTTTTAAAGCAAACATTGTTTTAATAAGGGTGTGCATATCAAGTGTTTGTGATTTTTTTTTTTTAGTATATATGTAGATATGTAACCCTAAACAAGCCGTTCTGGAGGTGGCTTGGGTTTTTTTTTTGGTGGTTTGTTTATTTTGGGTTGCTTTTGAGGGTGTGTGTGCGTATTTTTCTTTTCATTCTAATAGAGCACACAGTGAATTAGCGGCTTCAGGTCTGATTTCCTCCTTGACATATCATCTGTCACTTGGTAAAACCAAGAAACTTGAGCGTCTTTTACAACAGCTGGAATGAGTACTTAAGTCCTGTGTCTGCAAGCAGAAATAGGAAATTTCTTTATTCTTTCATTTGCCACAGTGAAAGCTTCCACCTATTCTCTTAATAAAAATTTCAAGTACCAGGGTTCACGTCTCCTGTCTTGTAGTTTAAAGGAATTTTTACTTAAAATTGAATGATTTCATGCTACTGTGGGTAAGTTGCTGATATGAGATTATAGGTTTGCCAGTGGCATCCTAGGCAAAAGGCCATATCTGCCTTTTGACAAGCTACTTAGACTTGTCTTTCAACCTCAATAAAAGTACATAACTCCAGTTTGTGTTTAATGTACAGACTCACTTAAACTTTGAGATTTTACCTTGAAAATAATGATGTATAACAGCAGTATATTGAACATATCCTTACTTTTATTGTTAACTCTTACCTTTAGTTTAGCAAATGGAACTTCGAAATCTCATGACGTAGGTAAAAACACCTACTAAGATTGGTTTTCTGCTTTAACTTTTCTGCAATAATTTCTTTGCTATGTGGCATTTCTTCCACTGAGATCTATTATGTCCAGTCAAAACCCAAGACTTACTCATAGTAATGAGTACCCATTCAAAATTTGAGACAAGCCTTCAGTAGTTTCACTGTCTAGTTCTCATGCAAATGTGCTGGACAAATGCAGTAGCAAAAGCATTTATCTTCTTGTCTTCTTTTGTAGGTTATTACTCCAAAGAGATTATTAACATCTATTACCTCGGTAAGTATTAATGTAATATTGTAACAAGATCTGACTATGCCCCCTTCCAAAGGGCATGTTCTTACAGATTAAGGCTGTGCCCATAATATATTCTTTCTGTTCCTTATGTAAGGCTCTATAAATTGTCCAGTTTTCTGCCAAATTTTTCAGTCATCAGCTCAAGAAACAGCTCTGTTACATATGTAATGCTGGAAATACACATTTATTTGGACTTTCTTTTTGATTTTTTTTTCTATTTGATTGGGTTTTTAGAAGTATTTCAAATCTAATTTCTTTTTACCTTGGCTTTGTCTCCAGTAGAAACTGTCAGAAGTACTTTTTCACTAAGCTTCTATTTCTCTCTCTTTCTAGAAAAGCAACCTTCTTACTCCAGGTAAGTAAAGTCTAAACATCTTATGCCAATCTACACTTGCTGCCAAAACTTCTATATCAACAAATAATACTTGTAACAGATGACAATTTGTGAGTAGTAAACACTAAATTTCCCAGCCCAGAAACTGGCCCTGTGTTTATTATGCTACCATTATGTTCAACAGAAGATATCTTCACAAAATCAGAACTAAAATCTGGTGTCAGATACCCATGGTTTACTTTTTTTTTTTCCTGAAAGTATGAATTCAAACTAATTTAATGATTTTAAAAGTAGAGAACTAGAGTCTGCTGTCAACAAAGTAATACAGAATAACTGGAAAATATGAACAGATTCTGAAATATTGCTTGTGTATAGTGTTTTGTATAAATATTTATATATAGAAAACATATGTAAACTTGTTTATGTATTTCTGACTCTTGACAGAGAAAAACAGCACCTCTAAGTGTTTTTCTAAGTATATAAAAACATTATACGCTTATCTGACCTAAAGTATGTGATACTTGAGCTAGCTTTAGCAGGAATTGCAGCAATAGGAGCTCATGAACTAAATCTGGAATGTGTATCATGCTGCTGCTACTAGTGAAATTCCTGAGCTACAGGGTGTGTTTCTCATGATGTAAGTGCAAAGGAAAGGCATACAAGTTCCGGAAGATTGCAGTGTGTCACTTGAGAAGAGGTTAAGAGATAGAAAAGTCACATTCCTACTGAAGGGTATGTGTGCTTTGTAGTGTGCCCCAGCACGCTCTCCATCCCTCTGAGACTTAAAATGCTTTGTTTTCTCCTTTGTGGATGTTTTCAAACCTTGTTTCAAAAGAAAAGATCTTCTCAGGAGGAATGGTGTGTGTCAAGATTCTCTCTGAATGTGCTGCTGGGCTTGGCTGCACTGCAAAGAGCATTTGTCCTGGAGTACTGAGCAGGGCATGCATGCAGTAGTGCAAATAAAGTACTTATTTTTAAGCCTTGCAGCATCCAGATTGTGTGTTTTGGTATTACTTTACTTCACTTTAACTTTTCTCCACAGCCATGGCCAGTCCAGGTGGCCCAAATGCCATACGCAGTACGAATTTCATCCTTGTTGGATCCCACAAGTTATCGCTGTCCTCTGTGGGAAATAACAAATTTGCACTGGACAAGGTAATGGAAATTACTGGTTGCTATTCCAAAGGTAATTTCATGCTACTAGAAAAATAAGAGTCTAGGTTTACTTTTCAAGTGGAAGCACCATCCTAGAAATGAAATATATATAATGGTTTCTAGATAGTTTATTTATATAGAAATTAACAATTTTTGTATAGTTTTTACTTACCTATATCATATGAATTAAATGTTGTTTTGAGATAAACAGGGATACTTTCATTACTATGCCAGGTGCTCTTTAATTTCTGTAGGTCAGTATAAGATATGATTGTGCAAAGATAACGAAGGAATTTGATTACTAATTTGCTTTCACTGACAAAAAATTGATGTATGCAGTTGGTATTTCTATATGTGGTCTTCATATTGTTGCTCCTAGTCTTGCAGTTATCACTAAAGAAGGCATTAAGTGTGTTTTAATGATAATGATGTTTTTGAATTTTTCTGCATTTAATTGACCTAAAAAATGCCACTTGAATATGTTTAGGAGCATGAGTTTTTCCTTTCATATCCCAATTAAATTTGTAGAAGCAAATTATCTTAAGGTGTTTTTTAGAACTCTTATTGACTTTTATGCCATTAGTTCCTTGTCTAAACAGAATGTTTATTGGCTTTTGCTATGAGAAGTTTAAAAAATTCGTTTTTACATTCATTGCAATCTCTAACCTTGTAATATCTAATATCTAAAACCTGTTTTAATAGGTATTTATGCTAGCATCTATCCTAAGCTAGTTTAAATTAATTCAAATGTTACTGCAGTTTATGGTAGTACTAAATCACAGCTTTAGCTACCCAAGAGCAGCAAAAGAATAACATTGGTTTTTTTGGCCAATTAAGTCTTATGGCAATAATAGTATTTTTGCAATTTCAGCTTCTGATAAGAGATGAGAAAACAAAAACTAATTGTGTTTGTGTATAAGTCTTAAAACAAAATATCTCAATAATCCTATCTTGCATTTTAGAAGTTTTACTTTTTGTAGATGGAAGCAGATTCCTTTACTGAAACAGCTGGCAGGACAATGGTTAAATTGCACTGTTGTTACTGACTATGTGAATTTCAGAAGTAGCAGCTTTGGTTCTTCAGCATAAATGTTCCTCTTAACCAGAGCTATATGTAGAAATCTTTGTGTGTAGCTTCCTTATTGGAAACCTCTTGTTCTTGGAGATAATAGAATCAGCTTTTGTATTATATTCAGCAGTTTAGGTTTGGACTTCATTGGTTTGCATTGTATGACAGGACACTGGACTAGTGAAATATAGCAAAAGCACAATGTTCAAAGAGAATTCTGGGAAAACTATCACTTGGTTAATTTTTTGCAGATGCAGTCTTACAGTTATCTGGAAAAGAGGGGAATTCTTATTCATTATTTATTTGGGGTTTTTTTTGTTAAATTACTACCTCAGTAAATTACATTACTACCTTTGTTAAATTACTACCAAATTTCAGTTTTGACTTGGCCTGTGGCTGTACAAACAGCTGGTTGCTTCATGTATTTCTGATATGGAACAAACTGATGCCACAGTGGTTTTTTTGAGTGTCATTCCTCTCTTTTACCTATGTACTGTTAAAGTGCAGGGTATAAAGGACCAAAATATACTCATGTATAACTGTGTCCTTTTTTCTTCTAGACTATAACTTTACACTAATTGCATTGAGCATGTTTCTTTTTTCCCTAGATAAATTTTGAAGGGGAGGAAAAAGAACTGTTGGGATTTATGTTCCAGGACAAGGTTGCTATGATCCTTTAGTTTCTAACTTAAAACAGGAAAATGCTTTCTAGTGCATGTTGCTTCTTTCTGTCTGGCTGTTTTTGCAGCTTTTAAAAAAATTCTTCTGAGAAAGTGCTTACAAAGATTTACTAACTAAACACAAGATGTTAGAAGCCTTTAAGACTTGCAGAATTCTACTCCTTGTCTCATAAGCATGCTGCTGGAACTCAGTTATTTAGGTTGCCTAGGGTTGCTCCTTAACTAGCATGTTTCTGTTGTCTTCCTGGGTCATTAGAGGAGGTTGTTTCTTGTTTCAGAACAAATTGTTGTGCTTCTTAAAGATTCATAGTCAGGAAATTTGAGCCAGCTTCTTGATGAACTACACAGAACATAGAATCAGCTGCTGTGCTGATAAGAGAATCAGAGAAAAATGCCTGGCAGCCTAAATGTTGGTTTAACTCAACTTGTTGCTGCTGAAGAAAATTAAAATCTCTCAGAACCTAAGTAACTTTGCTTCTTATTCTAACCTTGTTCTGACAAGACATAGCAAGACATTTGGCATTTTAAGCAAAAAGCTTAGTGTTTTCAAAGCATGTCAAATAAATGAGGTCCTTATTTGTACACAAATGTGCCTTTAAAATGTTTTTGCTCGGTGTATATTTTGGCTTTAGAAATTATGTGAATTGATATCCTTAACAGAAATAATTTTTCTTTAACCTATGAACATAGTTTAATCTAGTTAATAGTTTACTCGAGTCCTGCAGAAGGAAGTGTTTTAGATTAATTTTCATATTTCCACTCAAAATTAAGCAAGTGATACTTTTAGTGCCTATCATCTCCTATTTTTAATCAAAAGTCTCCTAAAAAAAAACTGTTTTTCAAATGCTTGAGTTCTCTTGAGACCCTTTACAGATAATCTTCTGTGACAGTAAGCTGTGTTCCTGTGGCAAATACCTGAGTGACCACACCAGGATGCAAGATAGCATAGTCATGGGCTTTAGTTTTCTTTCCATCTAGCTGGATATTTGTCAAACTGCTTTCTTTCCACCACCTTTAACTTTATTAAAGAGATATATGGTTAACTAGAACTCGATATTTTCTCATTATGTGTACAAGAGGTTGTTTTGAGACCTGCTTTAGTAACTTGTAGTGGTGTTGTAGGCTCTGCAAAACTGTGTTGTGTTTGTTACACAACCTCTTTGCTTTGCCTCTCACACAGTTCCTCACTGCTAAACTTCATAAATTGGATTCTTCTCTTCTGATGTAAAGCTTAATTGAGATGCAAAACCCATAAACCTGAAGTGGGGAATGGCCAAATATTCTTGAGGCCCTCATTCAGAAATGGGTTTTACTGTGCTTTATTAGGGTTATATGCCATTATTCCTTGGTGTAGCATGTAGGGTTAGAGTTGTCTTATCAGTCCTGGATTTCTTTTTTTTGTTTCGTGGAAGTATTTTACTATTTTTTGCTTCTCAAGTGGTCATGGAGACTCCTACCTAATGCTTAGAATTTTTCTGTGCTATACTATTCCTGTTGAGTACAGGAGCAAGCCATTAATGCTGAGTTAGTTGAGTAGATCTGACCTGTGAAAATGATTTGATCACCTGCTTGTGCATGTGTGTCCTATGTCTGGGAGGAAGGCTGCATGATGTCTGCAATTGAAAGGTGATCAATTTCTAACCACAACACCTATTTTGGTGTTCTGCAGAACTCACTGAGGCCCACAGAGGAGCACTTTCAACTACTCAGGGTTACTCCTGTTCATCTTAACTACTAGCAAAATTTAGTTCCATTTGAATGGTGTTGATTCCATAGTTCTGAAAGCTATTTTGTTACTGTGTACACACGCCTGTGCCTATTCCCTGGCAAACAGCTCTTTATTTGTATTTGACTGGCAACATCGACCTTCCTGGCTTTTCTAGTAATACAAAAGATGAGTGTTTCTGAATTTTTTTGTCAATTTCTTTTCAAGATTCTTAGCAGTGTTGCTTATTCAGACTAGCATTAAAATATGGTCTGTAGAATGCTGTGCAGGTCTGTAGAATGCTGTGCAGGTCGTCATTTGCTTGTTGAATCAGCTTTTTGCCTCAGTGAGGGGGAGAAAAAAAAAAGAGATGTGATTTCTTGGAGTAGTCAAAGTAATGAGGCATTATGTTTGGAGAGATTGGGGAAAGCTCAAAGGCAGACCTTTGCATGCTCTTCCTCAAAACTCTTGGCTGTCAAATGGCTGTTTAACTGACCTCTGGTACATTAATGATTTTTTTTTTTTTTTTTTTTTTTTTCCAGTGGCAAAAGTAAGACTGGGAACCTTTTCTGTCAGAAATTACTTAACACGTTTTTAACACCTTGAATGCTAGTTGAGAACTGTTTTCATTATTTCTCCCCTTTCCAGGTTTTTTTTTATGTAAAGATTTATCTGAGTAGGCACTACTGCATCAGTATCTGCCAAAAATGCTTATGGTATCCAAGTACCATTCCTGTTTAAGCTCACTTTGGTGAGCTTTATTATTTTCCAAACAACTTGATGTCAAACTGAGGCAGAAGCTTGAAAGGTGTGGACTGGTGCCTTCTGTTGTTTCTAACCATGCTTGAAGAGCCTGTTTTCATAGCTAGAGTGCATGTCTATATATCCTGATGAGCAAACTAATAAATAATTATTGGAAAGCTTCTAAATGAACTTGAAACCAAAAGTGATTATTACTGTCTTGCTTGAGTCTGACTGACTGCTTCTTTCTGGCTGAAGGTCCTAAGAACAAGACAGTGCTTAACATCTTGGTGCAGGTAGCCTGCTTGAACTGCTAAGACTTAGCTGAGAGATGTCAAAATTAAATGATTGTTTTACATTTTGCAGGTTCCCTTTTTGTCTCCTTTGGAAGGTCATATATATCTGAAGTTGAAATGCCAAGTGGACTCTTTGGTGGAGGAGAAAGGGTTCCTGGTAAGGTGTTTACTGTATTCACTTCAAACTCCTGCCTTGGAAATTACAGGTCCTAAAAGTATAGTAATTTTTTAATGTCACACCTGTGTTTAAAGCTAAAAACTGGCTTGATTTTTTTTTTTTTTTAATCTCTGAACCAGACCACAAATGGTTTTTAGTTTCTCTTCTAAACATGTTTAAGTTAAGGCTATATTTTAAGAGTTTGTGTATCTCTCTTCTAAACATCTGATTATTTATTATTTTGAACTTCAGTTAACCTTCTCTTTCTAAAATCTTTGATGGTGGATGAGATTTTAATTTCAACGGCCAAAAAATTTTACAGGACTCTTTTTGTGTGTGTTTAATAAACACAAAAGATTGGGTCTTTTTCTACTGTGTTCACAGCTTTTCTATAAGACAAAGAAACAACAGTATTTTTTTTTTTAGAAAAATCTTGTGCCATCTCTAAAACTCTTGTTTCTCTCTAAAACTGGACCTAGAATATGCAGCTGATACTTGGGCCTAGGAGCTGGAACTGTTGAAGTGTCCACAAGATGGCAGTAAATGTGCTATGAAAATGAAGCATTAACATTTGCTGTTATTTTGGTGTTTCCAGAAATCACGATTTCTTTAGACTCTTTTCAAACACTGCTTTCTGTCTCCTTTCCCTTTACTTAATTGAAGTCGAACAGATTTCATTAGATGCAAACATTTCACATGCTTATGGTATTTGCTGTCCCATGTTTCTGTGTACTAATTTGAGAAAGTCCACATTTGCTTCTACTGTACAATATGTAAAACCTGAAGAGTGATGTACATGCATGCGGCATTTGTTCAGAGTAAGGGTTTGGAAACTCCCTGCACCACTGAAAATTAGAATCTGAATTGTGAAGAGTGAGAATCACAATACACACCTTAATTGGGAAAAAAGTTCTGTGTAAGTTCAAGAATAGGAATAGAAGTCAGTTCAAGCAGGAATAGAAGTCAGATACTAAACTATCCATTCCAGTTCTAAGGAAATGAGGCTTGAAATGGATGAAATCCAGCATCCAATAAAAGAACTGCCAACACAAACATTTAAAAATCAATTTCTAATTTCCTTTGAACTGACTAAACTTTCTTGAGTGGCTTCTTGAATAGCTGCATGCTTTTTAATCCTGATTTTTAAGTCAAAAATTACTCAAATATCTAATAGTAATAAATTGTTTTTTGAACGCATTTTAGGAACCATTTGTACTGCATATACTAGAAATAACCATTCTTTACCTTAAAATAATGGGACTGCTTGTCACCATCAACATGAAAATCTTGTAATTTTAAACCGCAATTATAGGTGCCTTTTAGCAAAAGGCTGCAAACCTGAGAATGATAGTGTGAGCTAATTTTTTATACCATCTGGAAAATAAATACACTGTCTGAATAGAAGCCTCTCTCAGTATAATTTTTTTTCCTGCTCTTTCATTTAGTGCTATGAAAAGTTGCACTTGCAGAACCATTCTGGTAGAAAAATAGTCAAATACAGACCTAGCTCAAGGTAGAAAGTTACCCCATTTAATTTTTTGTTTTTAAGACCATGTTTGAAGATGTGAGTGGATTTGGAGCGTGGCATAGGCGCTGGTGTGTGCTGTCTGGAAATTGTATCTCCTATTGGACATACCCAGATGATGAGAAAAGAAAGGTAACGCTGTTTTGTAAAGCTTAAGTCTACAGTTCTGTAGTACCCTACACAAATAGTTGTTCATTGTTAAGGACAGTAATGTTTAGGCCTTAGACTGGTGGGATTCAAGTTCCTAAAGCTTCCTTGGGGAATGGAGGGGACTTTTCTTCATAAAGCTGACCTAAATCATGGCAAACTTAGAAACTGACTTCCCTGTCTAGTAGGAAATGGGGGAAAGTGATGGGAGATCCATATTTAATTTCCCCTTTAGTCTTAAGGCTTTCCATTGTGCTCATCAAATCACTAATTATTGAGTTGAAATTGATTGGACTTGTACAGCTTAATAAGCAGACTGTATCTAGTTGCCTAAAGTTTTAGACAAAATGATGACTAACACTTAATATGGTAAAAAATTAGAGTGGCCAACCTTGTATATTGTAGAACTATCTCATTTGACTACCTTATTTGAAGTCATTGTCTTCTTGCAGCTCCACATTGTAGTTGGAACTGGTGCTTCTTAAATGGTTCTCACAGAAAACTAAGTTCTTGTGGGGCTAATGAGACAAATCAGAGGTTCATCAGTCACTGAGGTGAACCTTCTTGTCTCCTTAGTGTGTTCCTGCAGTGCGCTAAATTGTTTCCAGGTTCTTTTAAAGACTGCTTTCCAAGAGGGTTTTTCTGATTCACTGAAGTTATTTACCATTAAACACTTTCTTGTTTAGTGGCAGAACATTTTCTTTCCCAAACTTCGTGGCAAACTCTGGTCCTTTTGGGACTTTTATGCCAATCCAGATGCCTGAGTTTAGTTTCTTCCCTGCTAACAGAGGAACACCATATGCTGATAGTTGACATTGCCAAAATATATCAATGTAGTTTATTCCCTTGCCAGGAGAGAGGGAAAAATCTTTGCCTACTGTAAGACAAGATAGTGGAAAAAAAAAGTTAAGCAAGAAGAAGGTTCCTATTTTGCTTTTGTCTGCAAGCAAGAAGCTTTGGTTTGTTTTGCAGATTGTTCTGGAAAATTTTCTAGACTTTTCTCTATTTTTCAGAGAGAGAGTCAGCTGTATTTTGGTGATCTACAGAAATATTAAACTTACTAAATGCATCCCCTTGCCCCCACTATATCTGTTCCATTGTGCAGAGATAGATGTCACCCAGAAATATCAGTATTAGTCCATGATTACATTAAATCATGGGATTTTTTTCAAATAAATTTCTTACAGCTGCACATATATCACCTTTTTGTATGGAGTAACTCACTGAGAGAAGGTGTGTTCACTTAATATGTTGTTCAGAATTACTTTTGATTGCAGTGCTCTTGACTGGTGAACTGATTTCACTTTCAGCATCCTTTGGGCCGGATAAACTTGGCTAACTGCACAAATCATCAGATTGAACCTGCCAACAGGGAGTTCTGTGCCCGTCCCAACACTTTTGAACTAATAACTGTCCGACCTCAGAGAGAAGATGACCGAGAGACCCTCGTCAGCCAATGCAGAGACACACTCTGTGTTACAAAGTGAGTGCATAAAATCATGAAGGTTTTGGGAGGGTATTTTACCTCATGTGATAGTTGCAGCAATGTAGGAGCTTTACAACTTTGTCATAATGATGCAAAGGTCATTTAAATGCTGAGGTTTTGGGTGGCACTTGAACTGTTTTGTTCACTTTTAATCCTTGATTAAAAGTGAACTGCTTTCTAGAAGTGGAAAGGCCAGGTGACTTGGTAGCAGGATGGTGGAATGTTTGACTTAATTTTTAACCCTACTCTTTCTTCTGGGCTTCTGTGGTTGATCAGCTTGACTTTTGTCCCATTAACTAATTGAAGACGGAAAATAATCCATAGGGTTCCTTGCCTCCTAGGAACTGGCTGTCTGCTGACACTAAAGAAGAACGTAACCTTTGGATGCAAAAGCTCAACCAAGTCCTCATTGACCTTCGCATGTGGCAGCCTGATGCCTGCTACAAACCTTCCGGAAAGCTTTAAGGGAAACTACACAAGAAAAGAATTTAAATGAGAATGTTGGAAGTCCTCTGGGTCACTTATGCTTTAAGTTTGAGAGAGTATTTAACGTTATACAGGACTATGTTATGCAGTATTTTTATTTCACTTAAAAAATTTTAAAACCTTCTTAGTTCCTAGTTTTGAGTATGGTAGGAAGCAATTACCTGTTTCTAAATGTGCTAAATATTTATATAACTCCTTTTTTGGAAGTCTTCTAGCTAGGTGCATTCTCTTTTTCAAACAACTAAATTATTGCAGGAAATCACACTTCAGGGCAGTAAGGGGGGCACTAGCTAGTGAAAGACAAGCTTTCCAGATAACTCAGCTCCCTGAAAGAAGCAACAGTTCAAAATACTCTTAACAAGAATGCTGCTGAAGCACAATATCTAACGTAGCATATGTTGGGGTTCTTCTTTTGTAATGATCAGGCATAGAAATAACTAGTTAATTTTATTCTACAACATGCAGTATAGATAATTCTGCTTGTCCAGCGTCTTTGTGGTCAGAACAAAACATGCACAACATATTCATACTACTTTTGCAATTTCCTATACAGACTAGTGTGGATAAGTGCATGGTGTGTACACTATGTGATTTGCAGGTATGGAATTAAGTATGCAGTATATTGCACTTTGATAGAAATGGAAGGTCTTGAATATTTTTGTTAGGAATGTTATGTAAAAAATAATCAGACAGAAAAATTTAGGTTTATGGTTGTATACATCAGTATTTCCTGGGACTTGTGGTTTTTACAAGCTAGAGTTCTCCATTTGACAACCAGGAATAGGTTAATAGGTAGTAAAAGTGTCCTTTTTTTGTTTTGTTTAATGATAAGACTTTACAAAGCTGCTGTGTACCAACTAATACTCCTCTGGCTGAAAAAATGGGTCTTCCTCCCCTTGATATACATGTGCACAAAGCATATAAAAGCAGTACTTTAGACTCATCATGAAAATGGCAACATTTCTCAGTTAATACTTGCAGTTTTTGTGGCTTTTCACTGAGCATATTGAAATTCCAGCTCATTACTTCACTAGGAATGCAGCAGTGGAAAATTTAAGATTGCTATTGCTGTTATATATTCACACTTGAAACACTAAATTCTGTTACCTTATACTGTTTTCATCCTGCCCCTTTTGTACTTGCTTTTAAATCTCATTTTCTTTTCTGATGTTTTTAAATATTTCCAAACTATGTATTGAGATTTATTTTATTCATTTAAAATAAAAAGTAAAACCCTCCCTGCTTTTTTTCATAATGTCATCTATGCAATTTGAGATACTAATTTGTAGGCTGAAGAAAAGCTGGACTCCACACAGTGTTTAAGGAAGGATTCTATTCTGTACATGTATCCCAGAATTCCACTTGATAATGTGAAGCCTTGGACATAGCTAGCTGAATTTTGTAGTGGGAAGCCAGATTGTCCATGTGTAGCAGCTCATCAAATATGGAGAGAAAAGATTTTTTTTTTTTTTGTGACAAAGATATGGCAGCAGAATAACACAACATGGACAGTGCAAGAGCAAATTTGAGCAGTGGATGTGTGGTAGGCTCTCTTCTTAAACTCCCAAGTGAGTGTTAAAAACCATTAATTTTTGAAGTATGAAATAAGTCCACAGAAAGGTGTTAAGAACAGAACTGGATGACATTCAAGGGAACATTTTTATTTAGGCTAATTGGACTATTACCCCTTGTAGAAATCAATCTGTGTTTGTTCATTGCCGAAGAAGCAGTTCTCCTCATAAAGGAAAAGGTATGAAGTGCTAGAGGTGGTGTTAAGTTAGCAAAGCTGACCTGTGTGGTGACTTCTGGGCACATGAGTGGTGAGCCCATGGGCTCCTGCAGCCAGCAGAAACATAGGATGCAAGCTTAGCAGGAAGCCTGTGCTTGTGGATTTCCTGGCTGGCACTGCTGGGCGCTGCCTCCTCCCCTCCCATGTTCCTCTGCTCTTTTAAGGCTTTGTGGTGAAAGTTTGCAATAATGGTTACGTAGTTTTTCCATAATTGGAGCAGATTCTTTGTGAAGAGGCCAGACTGTGTGAATTCAAATAGCTTCAGGTAGGTTTAGATGTCCTGCACCTCAAAATGAGTTCCTGCTGTCTGATTTCAAGCAAAGCTTTGTGAAAACCATTTGCAGAGTACCATCAAGAGAACCTTCCTGTGTGCTGGACCCAGCTAGTGACATAATCCCTTCTGTATTCATTCACATGCTGTGACTCTCCCCAAAAAAAGATCTTGACAGACCATTTCTTCTAGAACTTCATCCTGCAAATAAACTTTGAATTGCATGGAATTATAAGAAGCTTTCCAAGAAAAACTTTGTTTTCCCATTTCTTTTTTCCCTGTGCATTTTTCACCTTGAACCAGCCTAAGCACCAGGAGACAGTTAACCTAATGGAATAGACTAGGATTCATAGTTTGTCACTGCTTTAGCATAAGTAAGCTTTTTCAGCAGTGTTTTTTAAATATAGGACATGTATTTTTAGAGTGGTATGGGTAAGTGATTGATGTTAGGGGGTGCAGATCTTCAGCTGTTTTTTGCATTTGAAATAATTGAGACATAGTGGTTGTAAAAGCTGATAGCTTAATAGTACCAAAATTCATCTTTCTTTAATGAACATAGATAGTTAATGCATTATCAGGTTTCTGCATGCAGCTGGGTTTGGAGCTGCAGAGCTCACTCTGAGGTGCAAGGGCATGTGCTTTGGGTGGTGTGCCTTCAGCCAGGGGCAAGCCCATTCCTTGGTGTCCCTCAGGCCCTGTATCCAGTATGGAGAAGTTGTACTGGGCAAACCTTTGAGAGGGCTTTGCTTTGGGATTTGGCTGTGGAGGTTTCAGGCTGCCTTTGAAAAGATGTTCTAATTTTATAAGAAACCTTTTTTCCCCCATTGTTCAGAAATTCAGTGAGTTCACAAGTAAGAAAGTCTGTAAGAGAAAAATGCTTTCCTCTGGGCAATGTAGCTTATTTTAGTTGAGGAAATTTCAGTTTTACTACTTGGTAAAACTCCTAATTGGTGTTATTAAATCCCAACCTCAAATGAAATACAATAATTTGCAAAGAAATTGCCTTGAAAATTAGACTTCTAAACATGACTCCCTTCCCCATTTTAATTGCTACACTTCTGTGTGTTGATGTTGAGAAAATAATCTGATATTCTGTAATTATTGCCTGGGCTGTAGTAAAAACATGTGGATGCACTTGTTTCTATCCTTGTGTTGTATTTAATGAAAGATAAGTCCTGAATAAGTAATACAAAAATAGGAGGTGCTTTACCTGGCCAGGGTACATGGAATGTTATGTTGTTTGAAGAGAATTTCTACAGGAAGCAAGGTGATTTCCTTCTAATGCTAAACAGTCTTCCCCAGGTGTGCCTCTCTGGAGTTAAAACTATTCCTTGGGAGGCTGAATATTTTGGTAACATCTAAATGCCTTTAATAAATTGGGGCCTTATTAACAAGTATCATTCAATTAAGGAATGTATTCCCTTCTGGTTTCCTAAAGTAGGTGACTTGAATATTTACTTAAGTGTTAGCAGTCATCCCAAAGGAATTTCTATCTTAATTTCTATCTTAATATCTTAATAAAAAACCCAGCATTGATTGTACCCTATAAAAAGGATCAGGATCTAGGAAAGCAGTAATTTATGCTTCAATCAAAATAGTATTTAGCCTGGTCATCCACTGCCTGTGCAAAATGCTGAGTGGGTGCACATCCTACAGCCAGGCCCTATCCTTGGGTTTGGACCACAGCCCAAGAGCTGCCTCACGTGTGACAGCCTTGTGCAAGGGCTGTGCTCAGAACAAGGAGCAGAGCAACTGCCTGAGCTTTGGGCTATCGGGGTGTTTTAGTCATGTCATGTTAATGCTTGCTATTTACTGGATCTTTTTCACCCATAATTAATGCCACTTAATGCTCTCTGATTCCTCCATCATCAGTAAGGTTGCAAGTAGGGTAGAGCTGTCTCTGATTTTAAAAATTTATTTTGCTAAGAGCATTGGATAAGCTGACAAAAAAATGCAGTAATTTTCCATCTTCAAGTCTGCCTATGAAGTAAGGGCTGCCCAATATTTTCACTGATTCCCTTGGCCATGCCTGTAAAAGACATAGGACTGGGCATATTATTTTTCTTAGAGAGCAAAAAAAGCAGAAATACATTACAGGTTGAAAAAGCAACCCGCTTTTTAAATACATGAAGTGTTGTCAACCTAATATCTTATTAATGGGGGAAGAGAACCTGTGCTCAGTCAGCCTGTGCTGATGCTGCCAGGCACATCAAAATTGTAGTGCCTTGTGATTCCTGGCACACTTTAATAAGCAAATAGCAGCTAAATAATGTATTGACAGTCAAGGCAATTACATACACACAATTTATAGCAACATAACGAGTTTGGGGTTCCCCCCTCTCCTTTGGGATCAGATTAACTGTTGAAACACTTCAAATAGAAAACCTAGAAATGCTCTGCAGAAGGAAAAAAGATTAGGTAGGGGTAGGAGTTTGCTGCGTATGAAAAAAAGAACGGATTTTCAAAGTGGTCCAATAAATGGTCTAGCTGGCAGCTATCCCTTGATTTTTATTTTTGTAGCTCCACAGAAAAAGCATTATCTACTTGTGCAGGTGAGATACAAACTGGAAAGAATTCTCTTGTGTTATATTCACTCCTACTGGCTCTGATAACTTCCTCTACCCCCTTTTTTGGGTGTGTCTTTAATCATCTTGACTTGTGGAAGCGCCGTCATCAATCGCGTGAGGGTTCCAGCAGTTGGGAAGTCAGTATCCACCTTGATCTTTGAATATGGCCTCAATCTGATCATTGAATGGATTCTCCTTGCCAAGCACTTGAGGCCACTCGTGTAGTGCCTTCTGCCAGGTAATGCCTGTTCCAAGGGCTGCAGCAATCTGCAAACCACAAATGCTATCAATTTCTTGTGCTTCTATAAAGCCAGAGTTTAGAAGACCCCACCATAAGTATAACCATGTGATGGACTGTAACCAATAACCAAAGCAAATACCCCCTTACAGCTCCTTGAGCAGGTCTAAATCCTTCTGAACAGTAAAAATAGGGTGAGGACCATATATCTGCAACTCCCTGACCTGTCATTTGTCTAATAATGATAGTCTGTCTCCAACCATTTCCTGTGGCCTATGGTGTCTAGTCCATAAACTGCTATTTAAAAGCCCTGAAATCTGATTTTTTTTTCCTAGTGAAAAATTTTGAAAGTATGTCAAAAGCACCACCTGGGTATAATGCATAAAACTCTTGCAAGTCCAAAGGAATTCATGCTCCCAAATGCCTTTGGTACATCTAATAAATGTTCTCTGTGCTCTCCTGGGAGGAAACCACAGGTGTTGAGGAAAAAGAGGCCCAATTATTTCTAGTTTCATAACTAACTGTGTCTGATGCTCTAAGTTTGCACCTGCTACTGGGTTGTCTTCAGAGTTTTTTTTTCCCATGAGACCTGCAGAAATGATAGAATAGCTTTTCTCCTCAATATCAGTCTCCCTCCAGCTTTCACAGAGGTTTTTGCTCTAGAAGTTATGTACCAAAGAGAAATGTTATCTGCTGTATTGCCAGGGTGAAAAACACCAGTGGCTGCAGAAAGGGACAGAGAGAAAAGCCTGAGTCTCCCTTGTCCGAGTTTTTACACACTTCTGAGGCATTTTTATTGTACTCCTGACCTGCAGTAATATTTGGCCTATATGGGAACTTTATTTTCAACCGAAACTTTTCAACACACTGATATTGATTGCAATTATGAGGTTTAAATACGGCTAACAAAGCCTTCTCTTTTTAAGGGCCAAGGTGGGTTTTTGAAATCAAACTATTTGAGTACTGTTGTTTTGGAGTTTAGGAAGATACTGGAGACTGTGGGGAATTTTTATGTGCTACTTTTTTAATCCTGTGCTTTAAAAGAAGCTCTAATGATGGGCTGGAAGACAAATATCTTTCTTTTGCTTAAGGGCTCATGTACAAAGAGTAACATTTGTGGGGGGGAGGCTCTTAGACTCTGGTCTCTCAAAGTCTTGTTAAGCTAATGAAGGAATTGGGGCGGGGAAGAGGGATAGTGGAGGTTTGTTCATTAGAGAGTATTCTCCTGGTTGCAGTTTCTATTGTGACCAAATGTTATTCTGGGACACCCTATGGCAGCCAGGGGACTGAGACCTGTCCCTGTCAGAGTGGTCCATTCTGGCATGGTGGTCTCCAAACCTCCTTCACAAACCTCCCTAAGCCTTCCATGTGTGTTTTTAGCAGGAAAGATGGGGTTGGTTAATTGATTTGGTGTGTGGTTTAAAAACCCCTACATCCTTTCCAAAGGTACCACTGGAGGTATCCTCTACAGTCTTCAGACTAATGCTGACTCTAATTTAAAGTATGTGTGCTTAGACTGCCCTAAATTGAATTAGGTTCTGTGCACACATAATTTCTTGACATCCGGATGATTTCAATAATTAATTCCGGATGAGTAGTTTAGCAGACAGAGAAGGGTTTGTAACTCTGGAAATTGCTTTCTTGCAGGTCTTTTTTAAATTCCAGAGTTCTTGTACTTTAAGACGTGGTATAATTTTTATAAGCTTTGCAATTATTTTTTTTTGTTGTTGTGAAGATGACAGCCCCTAAGCAAGTTTTTAAAGGAAGTATAACCCATTCCTCACAGAGCTCTGGGTGACTGCAACTGGGAGGCAGCTGTGGTTTTTCAGCAGCTTCTGGCTATCTGCTTTCCCCTTCTGCACCAAACAGGTGATAGGCATGATTCTCAGCCAAGTGTAAATACCCAACTCATCTGATATGCATCACTTCAGCTTTTCCACTTTATTTCTGGCTGGAACGTGCTTTGCTATGACTTAAGGAAGAAAAAGGGAGAAGCTAATCACACTCAAGCTGTGCTTTCCTGCCTGTACATAAACATTAAGAATCTTCCAAGCGTCTCTGGTTCCATTTTGTGATGCTCAGGGCTTTTGCATTCTCCCTGGAAACATCATAAAAGCAAGAAATGGAGCCGTTTATGCAGGATCCTGTTGAAATGCATGGCCCTGTCATCCAAACAAAGCAATCGACTGTTCTAGAGGGAAGTGGTGTCCTTGAAGCCATCTGGCATTCACAAGGATTTGCAGTGAAATTTTGTAGTAAGGAGGAGATGCTGAAGAAAATCCCTGGGCTCCCTCTACAGTCACTGGGAAGGGAAAGTCAGATTTTTTTCCAAGGACAACCAAGCTGAACTTTGGGGAATGGTGTCTCAAAAATACTTGAGGGAACTCGGGAGGACGGAGTGAATCAATTTGCTTTTAGGTGCTAAAAGTAAGTAGTGCAAATTTCCTCCACCTCCATCATGAGCTGCATATTTTGGAAAAAATTTTATGGATGCAAATTTTAGCTTTGAAACTTCACTGAAATGCAGTTATGCCAATTATGAGTGTTTTGTTGGCTCCCTCCTGTTTTGCAACTTAAAACATGCAGGAAAACCCTTTTCCCACAAGAAATTTACAGGAAGAGAATGTGGTTCTGGGCCCAGCTCAACAAATCAATACTTGGTGTTTATCCCATCTTTCATGATTTTTTCATATGAAACATTGCCTGGAGTGGGGACCATGGGGGCTACTTTTTCCTGCCTGAGTGCCTAACCTTGCCTTTCTCCAATGCATGAAAAACTGCAATAGCTCTTATGGGACAGGGCAAGTGTGGCCTTTTTTTTTTATTTTCTTCTCCTTGCAAGGTATGCAAGCTTTAGTTACAAAGGTTCAATTCCCTCCCACATCCCTCCAGCATGTTTGGACATCTGGACTCCTGGATATATGTGCTAACACCTGCTTCTGCATACCAGCAGACAACTTTTTTTTTTTTTAATTAAAGATACAGTGGATAAACAGCAGATGAAATTCAGAGGCTGACAACAGACACCACCTTATCCTGTCCATTGCTGTACCACAGTGATTAAGGGATCACCTAGTGATCACAACTTGCCAGCTCAACCTTAGGTTGAAAGGGGCACAGAGAGAGGTTCCTTCATCCCAAACTTCAAAATTTCTTTGCATTGAAGGCAAGAGCTAATGTGGTTTTGCTTTCCTTGGAGTGCTTCTCAATCTAAAAATTGGAAAATATTTGTCAGGTGCTTCGATATCTACAGAGGGAAAATTCAGCAGAAATGTGCTGGCTCGGTATCTTATCTGTTGTATTTATCAGGCTGCCTGTGAGGTGTGGGGAATAGCTGCAGGGATGGAAGCAAGAGCTTCTGTTCACTTGACAAGCTGCATGGAATCAATGCTCTCCCGCTAGGCAGCTCTGTGTGCTACAAAACCACACCTGGCCAGAGGCATTTGTGTCAGGAGAAAGTAAAACTTTAAATAAAACTTGTATGAGGAGTGAGTGAATTGTTTATCATCTTCCTTAAGTATACTCTGAAACAGCAGTCTCTGCTCACACTTCCTCCTCTATTTATTAAGAGAGTTACTCTTGGGGCAGAGTGCTACATCTCAGTCCAAACAGTGGTATGTTGTTGATAACAGACTTCTCTAACAGGAAAAGAAAAATGGATTTACAATGGTGGATGTTTGGATAAGGCTAATTAATAAAACCTAAGAGGACAATAACTCACTTGAAGTGAGGCATATCTACAGCTGGCACCTTGACTGTAAGGGAAAATGTACCTATAAAAGCATTAACGTCATGCAAGCAGCAGGAGGGAGAGATCATAACCACTGCAGGATGCCAGGTCCAGAGGGAGTGAAATATGGCAGTGCTTGACTGCATCCTGTGGCTCAGCACTCTGGGGGCTGCAAGCAGGTTTGCAGCTGCCCTTCAATGTCCTTTTGTAATTTTTTTGTGGCTTAGGAAGGATCCTGTAAAATAGTTGCTGCCTTCAACTCTGTGCTACCTTGCTGCTGCTGGTGGGATACAACATGTGGGCAGGAGGCTGGATGAAAATCTGTGATATTACCATTGTGGCCTGGTGCTGGGGGTTATAAGAAATCTCAGGCCAGGCAAAGACAGGAAAATAATGCAAAGAAAATAATGCAAAAGTTTCCACTGCACTCCAGACTTTGTATTGCAGTTTCCCCAGATGGCAGGGTTGGGAATGGGGTTTGTTTCATCACTATTTTTACTCTCATTTCATTTGCCAGGTTTTCTCTAATTGCTTCCTTGCAAAAGGCCTGCAGCAAAAAATCAAGGCACACTTTCTCCACATCCCCAGGCTGTGAGCTCATACTTTTATGCAGCTGTCTCCTGGTACTTGTAAAGTAGACAGGCAGGAATTTCTGCTAGGTAAGAGTCCCTCGTTGAACAGGAGGATCTTGTAATTTGGCAAGGCTAAGCAAGGCACTGTATGGCCCTGAGTGACTACCATGAGTGTAAAAGATAGCAACTAAAGCATCTATTTTCCCTTTGGACTTTCCCCTGCAGGTCTCCCCTAGCTTAATTGACAGAACAGTCAATGGAGAAGCTGCTGAAGTGCTGGAATCCATCAGTGCTTGCACCTTACTCCTGTGGAAGTGCTTCTCCACTGACTGCTCTTTCCCAGTGTGGAAAGCAGCATCACATTGGGTCATATGGAGATGGGGTTGTTGGAGTCAACACATGCAGGGCGTTATTCCACCACATAAAACTGGCCCATAAAATCCCCCCATGATTCTGAGCAGGGAGAGCTACCAAATAGCACTGCCAGTGGCTGGGCAGTGTGGTGGGGTTTGCTTGCAAAGGAGACTGACTGCTGCTTTGCTCTGCACAGGTGTGTGACACTTTCAGGTAGTGTATAGAAAACCAACTGGCTTTGTTTGCAGCTGACTGCAGAACATGCTCTCTCCATGTGTTTTTGTAGGAAAAAAACTAATTTGAAGCGAGCATGGTGGGAACCAGGCAGCCTCACACTAGTTTATCAAACCCAAGCAAGGACTTACAGTGGAGCAGCTGCTTCTCCTTCCCCTTTGTTTATTTCTGTAATAAACAGACTGTAAACCTTCTCCTTCAACCCCTCCTCGGAGGCCAAGCAAGCAAGTGAAAAAGTAATAAGATGTAGATGCTGAGCAGAAGCAATTTAAAAGTATAACTTCAAAAAGAATCTTTGTTCCAGACTGTGACAGGCAAACCTTCAGGCTCAGAGGCTGCAGGGCAGAAGCAGGACTGGTGGGGGCCTGTCTGGTTTCTGCAGTGCTGCTTTACTGTCCTGATCCTGATCCTGCAGAACTCCCACGGGTGTTTGGGCAGGCAGCTGGCCAGCCTAAGTGGCAAGGACCAGTTTTTGTGCATTAAGACCTGTTTGGCCACGATACTGGTTAGTGAGGGAAAGAGGCAAACTCCTTGCAGGACTCAGAGCAGAGTGCAGCCATCAGAAATATCAGATATATTGGCTCTGGGGCTACAGGTGTCATTTAGATTGCCCAAAGAAGGCACCCTGGCTTGCATCAGCAATGGTGTGGCCAGCAGGACCAGGGCAGTGATTGTCCTCCTGTATTCAGCACTTGTGAGGCTGCACCTCAAATCCAGCAGTCAGTTGTGGGCCCCTCTCAACAAGAAAGACATTGAGGAGCTGGAGCTTGTCCAGAGAAGAGCAGCAGAGCTGGGCAAGGGTTTGGAGAACAAGACTTATTGAGGAGCAGCTGAGAGAACAGAAGTTTTTTAGCCTGGAGAAAAGGAGGCTGGGGGGAGATCTTAGTGCTCTCTACAACCTAAAAAGATGTTGTGATGAGGCAGGGGTTGGTTTCCTCTCCCATGAAACAATTAATAGGATATAAGAAAATGGCCTCAAACTGCACTGGAGAGGAGTGTTAGATTGGATATCAGGAAAAATGATTTCAGGAGAGGGTTGCCAAGCATTTGAACAGGCTCCCAAGGGAAGTGGATGCACTACTATCCCTGGAGGTATTCAACATGTGCTGCTTTGGGATAGGGTTTTCTGGTGGACCAGGCAGTGTTAGGTTCATGGCTGGCCTCCATGATCTTAGAGGCCCTTCCAACCTAAATCACTCTTTGGGGAATAGTCTCTCTCTCCTTTAAAATAGACAGATTCCCTAAATCTGCATCCCTGTGGCATGCCAGCTGGATGCCTAGGGCAGCATTAGGCACTGGAACCCCACATGATCCCACATCCCACCTGCTCCCACCCATCCTCTGGGGCCGGGTTTTTACCTGGCTGGGGTGGAAGCCGTCCACTGGCTCGATCAGCTGCCAGGGCTCGCCTCCCATCTTGCGCCACTCCTCGGCCGCTGCAGAGGGCACAAGCAGAGGGATTTATCACCCCTGAGCATGGAGACACCACCCAGAGACATACCCCCCTCCTCCTCAAAGCATCCCTGGCGTTTTTGGGCACATGACAGCTCTGCGTGAAGATTATAATTCACATAGAGTTGTCAGAGTCTATAGTGTGTACAATCCCCTCTCCTTGGGGCAGTATTTAAGCCTTTATTGTTATTTTTTTCCTCTGCGATATTTATGCAAGGAAGTGCTTTGAACATAAATGATTGTAAAACAATTCACTTTCCCTCCCAACTAAGATGGATGCTGTAGCAAGTAAAGCTGTAAATTATTTAGTACTGATTTAACACTTTTGCGTTTCCCATGTTAGTTGCATCTTCAGCAGTGCAAAAGAAAAAGTAGAGATGAAGAAAACAGCACTTTTTAGAGAAAGAGATGGTAACAGAATATTCACATGGGCTGAAATCTGCATGAACAGGCTGTCATTTTTGGTTACTTATCTTCCAAGTGGTCTTTTTCAACTCCAACAAAATAACCTTTTGAATTACATAAGCGTGACATTCAATGCAAATGATGCTGTGCTGTAAGCCCTGGAGCCATTAGAGAAGTAAAAAGCTTTCTCTCTTCAAAAGGGCTGTGGAGTGATCAAACATGGGACTAGTGGATATGGCATTAACAGACTGTAAATTCAATAATTCCTTTCATAATGACAGATTAAGAATTCTTAATAGCATTATGCAAGCATCCTGTCAGGAGGAAAATGTTCTCCATTCAAGCACTACAGTTTGATCTGGGCTCACTGCTGGTTTTTGGACCCTGACTATTGTGTCAAAAAGTGATGTCTGGGTCCCCATGCTAACTCTAATTCACAGAAAGGTGATATTCCTGCTTTGACTGTAGAAACCCGCTTGTGATGCTTCAGGCACTGCCCAAAGTAACCTGTTTGAAGACATGGGGCTTGTAGGTTTGTTTCAAATTTGCGGTATGTTGGGCATAACATATTCATCACACAGTGCACATACAGATGCACAGTGAACTTACCCAACCCCTTATATGTGATATTGTACATGGAGTACAAGGCTGTGCACTGTGTTTTAGTATATTTGTAGCTCATCTGTAAAGAGACTACTGTTCCAGTGCCAGAAACAGCAGAGGAGGAAGTAAGATATGTATCAAGATAGGTCGATTTATACTGTTATACCTGAATTCCAAAAATCCTACAGCAGTCAAGCAAATATCCACCAGCTGAGTATGCCCAGAGCTTGTCTCAGAGATGCCTGCTGCCTTGGCTGGACTGGACTAGAGCTTGCTCCCATCCACATCAAGGAAAAGGTGTGACAAGCACCCCCTATCCCCCCTCTTTATTGCACTGCTTCATAAAGGAACCACTAATTTCTTTAGTCAAGGTCAATAGGTGAGTTTGAGTATCCACCTAAATCTGGAAGAAATGCTAATGTACTCAAATTTTACTCTGAGAAAACTGGGCGCTGTTCTGTTCTCTATATATGCCCAGGCCAGCCTGAAATCTATGTACCCAGTGTGTAACCACTGCTAAATATTTGATGTCTGGAGAGTTTAGGGGAGGATTTGCTGCTTCCTTCAGAAAGAGACCAGAAAAGTAGGTCAGCAGCCTTAGCTGGCTTTTGAGCACACTCGTGATCTGACAGCTTTCCTGATGGCAAGCTCGAATCCTTGGCTCCAGGGCTGCAGGAAATTTTGCAAAGTGTCTTTCAAAGCTGATGTTTGTATATGCATGTGTGATTTTGTTTACTTCATTTATTTAACGCAATGTAATCAAGAACAGCAAATTATATTAAGATGTTTCCTTTTGTGAAAGCAAATAAATTAACTAAAGTTAGTAATTTAACTTATTAAAGTAATTTGCCTACCCAGCAGGTAGTTCATTCCAAATCCTAATGACTTGTTAAATATTAAGTAGCTGAGGCAAAAGCCACCAGGAGACTTGGACACCCTTGAAACTCTGTGCTATGTGAATGAACTTGACAGTGGAGCCCACCTCTCTGACAAAATCTTTTGGACAGAAATTCTGCCTCTCCCATCCTCACTTCTTTACCTCCTCCTCCTCCATATGGTCTTCATGAGACCCAGAACCAGCTTCCTGAATTGGGTCATGTAGGATAAAATAAGTTTGTGAATTTTGATGGGATTTGGCTGCAAAAGGATTTTTTTTTTTAAATAATCTTAGGTGCTGTGGTGGCTTCGTGCTTTCAAGGACAGCTAAGCACTAATGGGGAGAAGCATTAGAGAAATACACTTTAAAGCATAGACAGGGTGCTTCTGTCCCTTTGTGGCTTTGGATTTAGATGTTTGAGTGCTGGGATTTAAAATACAGTCCCCAGACAAAATTTTTCAATAAGGACTACATGGAACTACCTCTCTATGTGAACATAAAAGCAAGGAAATGCAGATCAAGCTTTTTTCCTGATTATTATATACTCTTTTTTGAATGTAAGCATTCAGGCTATCTGGGAGAGGCCCCAATGTGGGGAGGGCTGGAGCTCCTGCCCCATGAATGGAGGTTGAGGAACAGGGATGGTCCATTCCAGGGAAGAGCCTGTGGGGAGAAAATGAGGATGGGGCCAGACTCTTCACAGCAGTGCACACTGGGAGAGGGAGAGACAAGTTGTTGTAACATGGGAGATCCAGGCTGGAAATAGAAATAAAAAGCTGTTTTCCTACTTTCCCTTCACTGTCTGTCTGCTTGTAATTTGTTGCCCAACTCAATCCTTCATCTCGTGCTGATCCTCATTTTTAAAAAGAAGGAGTGAGTTTCTCCTTGTGATGAATCTGAGCTGATGCTGGGTGCTGCCTGAAGCTGGACCCCTGTGTGTCTTGAAAGATAAGCAGAACTGATTCAGGAATTCAGGGACAGGTGTTGGTCCCCAGCCCCACAGGGACACTGTCTGTTCATGCTCATGCATAATGACATGTTTTAATTTATTTTTAAGTGTCCGTTTCAGAAGAAAAAGATTTAGGTAATGCACTTAACTAATGTCACTATAGATCACAGAAGGACAAGTTTTGTAAGCTCTTCCAGTCAAAAGTTACAGTAGTATGTAGGTGTTTAAAGAAACATAGGAAATATGCCAGTTAATCCTGGGAGAGGTGCTTCTACTCTTGGGAACAGTGAGAGGGTGGCTGTGTTGTTGAGGCAGGGAAATGGCTGATAAAAGTTCTCCTTCCCAAGGCACTGCTCAGTCCACAGGAGGCAGCATGAAGCCCGGTCAGGGATGAGGCAAACTACATCTCATGAAGAATGAAGACCACTCTGACCGCTGCAGGTATACATCCCCAGCCTAGATAACCTGCTTTAAAAGCAACTTTCAGAAATAAAACTGAACCTTACAGACCAATATGGTTTGAGATTTCTGGTTTTTTCTTCAGCAGCCTGAGAAGCTGCAGTGGACAAGCAGGAGGCCTTCTCAGCAGAGGCACATCTCCTGTCCTTGTCACTTTGCTACCCCAGAAAAAATGGCCACTGTGCTGTGCATCACTGGGGTGGTGGGTGACTCCAGCTGGGACCAGCGGGGAGGCTGTGGTTCCCAAGGCAGTGGTGGGATCTTACCTCAGGAAAGATTACCTCAACCAGGAGAAGCTGGCTCCTTGGCCACAGCCCTGACAGCAGGGTCACCTAGGCTGGCTGACTGTATTGCCCTTCTCGTGGTACTGAGCCAAAATATGAGGAGCATATCAGCAGGCAGAACTTGAGTAAAAGCTTTGTGAGAAAGACAGGGTAAAAAACAACTTACTTTGTCTCAGTGGGAAATCCATGTAGAAAATATCAAAGTTGGCAAATTTCTCAGATCTTGCTATTTCTTTCAGGACATTGGAAAGTTGTAACGCTCTCTGCAAAAATCAAACGATTTAATGACTGTTCATTGCTATTCATGTTGCTTTGCATGGATTCAGCTTTTGTCACTGATGTGCAGGCAGGAATTTGAAAGCTAATGTTGCCCTTGTTTCTGGGGGACCAAAGGTGAAATGAGGCTCTTCATCAGAACATGGACTTGTATAAGCACCACCAGCCTTTGGGGTACCCAGTTCCTCCTCACAGACTGCACTGAGGCCTCAGCTGATTTTGTAAGTTTGTTACAGCCTATGCTTATTTCACTGGAGTCTGCTTTTAGTAGTGCCCCTACACTTATATAAATATTCTAAATTTCTTGCTTTTGGAGCTCTTTCTTAAAGAAATGCAAAACTTTTCTACAAAAGAAATGCCCTCTTTTCCTATTATCCTTGCCACTACTAAGTTGGAGGTGATAATGCTTATCTATGCAGACCAAATTCCACCCTTACTTTCAGAAGAGTAAATTACCACCATTGAGCGTCTGCCTGATACATCCAGTGTAATTTCTGCAGCCATAACAGAGATCAGGATCTCCTAAATATTTAAATTGTGCAGTTTGGATAATAACATAGACAATTAGTTTCAGACAGGGGCTCAGAATGATTAATTCATACCCTGCAGACATATGCATTGTTCAGGGACAGAAGTTACATGTACTCCATGTTCTGTATTGTGGGTATGAATATATAAACTGCAGCCCTGCAAAGGTTTAGGAATGTGCTTAATGACCTCCTCCGAATTCAAGGGGGACAGGGCATAAAATGAAATACAAATGTAAGCTTTGGTGAAATTAAGGTCATATTTTGTTGTTTAGTGAATGCAAACATTAATACAACCATACACAGAGACGACACCTTTGATAACATTTGGTTACTGGCTCCTTTTACAGGAGATTGCTGGGATTAAAAATCAGCTTGTCCCATAAGAAAATAAGTGGCTGTTTTTATGTATCATTCACTTCTGCAGCCAGATTTTTAGGGTGAGTTTTAAGACATCTCTGTTCTGTCCATTCCCATTCCTGCACTGAGCCTGGATGCTCCCTGGTCACACCATCTGGTGATTAAGTCCACAGAAATGTGTCTGAGGAAGATTAGCACAAATCCCAAATGAAAACAGGGTAAGGCTCTTGCTGTCAGGACCTTATCCTACAGCCAGAAAAATCTATGCAGCTGGCTTGTCATACCAACAGCTCACATGATTCAAAAGCCTTTCCTTTCTTATCAGGCCCATTTTCTTCTTAAAGAACATGAACCTAAACAGTCCTGTCTCAGGGAGATCACATCCCTTGAGCATAAATTTGGGTGTCTGAGAGGTTGTAACAGCAGTACCTTTAAAAATCCCTTAACTTGAGCATGCTGCCTCCCAGAGACTGAAAGGCATTTGAAAGAGTAAGTGTGGATTTTTTCCACAGTGTGAATAAGTGTGAATAAGTTTCCACAACTTCTCCTCACCTCTGGAAGGAAAAAACCTGTGGTGACATCTTGCCTTTGGGGCAATTGGGCTTCTCTCCTCAGGCCCAGGGCAGAGTGTCTGAGCACTGGGGTGATGCCCTTGCAGCCTACTGAGACTTACCTCCGAGGTCAGATTCCTGAGGGTCTCGTTGGGGGTCAGCCAGCCGCTGCAGGGGCTCACCTGGGCAGGCATGAGGAGAGGGGCTTTAGCAGCAGAACAGGATGAAAGGGGGGATCCTAAGCTGCAGCTGCAGACCTTACCTGGAGGCAGTCGAGGAAAGAGTAGACTTGACTGTAGGTGACATCCTTGTTCAGTTGTCCTGCAAAGCACAGAGAGCCAAACATGGTGTGCCCGATGGACAAATGTGATTTCATTCTGCACACCTGTGCATTCTTGTGCCTTACATCCCTGGGTGGGGAGAGGCACCCCCAGAGCCTCACCACACCCCTGACCCCCAGAGCTGGGGTGCAGTAGAGGTGGCAGCATCAAGGCATCCTTCCTGCTAAGGTGCCTGTGTCCCTGCAGTGCGCAGAGCCCCACACCTGCTTTTGCTGCATCCCTCTGCTGCCTTGCATGGGTGATTTGTCTCACGTGTGCGGTTAGTCACCACAGCCCGTGCCAGCCTCCAAAGTGCATGGCTGATATTTTCCCATTAACCTGTCTCTCACCCACCAAAGAAATGCAGGGTTTGCAAAGCTGAAGGTTGCCGGTGTACACTCTGAGTTTTGCATTTACTTTGCAGAGGTTAGCCTTAACAGGGAGAAACAATTTTGCTGTCATGGAGGGAAGTGTATATGCTTGTGTAGGTGAGGAAATTTGAGCACCAAGTCAAGCACCCAGCTAACATTCCATAAAATTCACTGTGCTATGCAATAGCCTGGCTTTCTGAGAAAATGATCCATTTTCTCAATCTTTTTGCTTCTTTGGTAACTACAACTAAGATGAGAATTAAATGGCCACATTTTTTTGTATTAGTTGTATTATTGTTTGTAGTACACTGATCATCCCATCAGGCTTTGATACTTTTGCAGGACTGAAATAGGAATTTCTTATTGTTGTTTTTAGGAACTGCAAAGTATAACCTCCCCCAAGTGAAATGGGCTTCTCAGGTTGCTTTGCAGTGGCTCCCTGATACAGATGTGTTTCCGGCCTTTCACACAGCTGCCCATCACCCAGCAGCAGTTCCAGCTGCCCAGAAAGCAACAGGTGGGGAGTTCAAAGATCTAGGAGCACTTCTGGCTATTTGGATGTTCCAGATTCCTGTAGCTTGAAGCATCAGGCCCTGGGATGGGCTGTTGTGGGGACCAGAGATTTGGCAGAAAGACAAACTGATGTCTGGTCATGGCTGAGTGGCAGCCAAATGGGGAAAACTGCTCACAGCCTGTTGGAGGATGTGCCAGAAGGGATCCCTTGCTGCAAAACGTGTTGCTTAGGATTAATTGGGTCCCTCCAAGGCAATTCAGCCCCTCTGAAAATTTTCCAACTGATCCTATAGTTAATCACTCCTGATTTGGCTACGTGTTGTCTGTGATAATTAGATACCTAGTCAGAGGAACTGTCGCTGTGATAAACATGCACTCAAGGGAAGAAATGGTTTTATGTGACTAGAAATGAATTATGACAGGTTTCCCCTGCCTTGAAAGGGGTAAGATTTTCCTCTTTTTTTCCTCAGTTTTTTAAAATTGGTACTAGTATAGTGGTTAGGAGAGAAAAATATAGAAATAGAAATGCGAAAGATGTGAACCCATTGGTAATTACTAGGGAACCTTGGGGAAACCACAACACAGCTGCAAGCTGTGCTACCCAGTGGTTGCCAAAATCATCTGAAGTTGTAATCTACCATTTTAATGATGTGATTTAGCTTCTCTCTTTTTGCTGGTGAGAACTATTATGACAACAACTTCCTGCCAGTCAGATTCAAAAAAGATTCTTTTACTCCAATACAAGTGAGTACATGCTTTTTGTCTAGAAAGCCAAGGAGTGAGTGCTCTGTTAATGGTCAAAGGTACTGTGCCATTCACACTCTGAGATGACAGGATCCCAAAGGTAGACTCCAAATCTCTGAAAAAAAATGCCCCAAAGCACTTTACACTCTGAGGGAATGTCCCAAAACATGCCTGCACACAGTATGAGGTTTCAATCATCACATATAGCTAGTGTAGGAGGTAGTGCTAGGCACCCAGTGCTGGCAGAAAATTTATTTCTCTAATATAAAAAAAGTCTTTTGGAACCCTCTGACTTAATCTTTTGCCTTGGTCCACATCCAGTTTTAATACAACATCCACCAGTCAGTGAGTGTAAACCAAATGCCCATCTCCACCTGTAACAACAATCAGGAAGAAATGCAGGCGGGCTGGCCACAATTTTGTGCCAAGACTGCGGTAGAACAGCTTGTTTACACCACCACAACAATGTGTTGAGCCTGGTTTGGAGCTGGGTGGATATGACTTGTGAGGGAAACAGTCAGAATAGGGGTCCAGCCTGTCCTACACTGGGAATGTGAGAGCTGCTATTCCTACTTCTGCAGCACAGCCAATATCTGCCTCATATTTGTCAGATCTCCTCCACTCTGTCAGTTTTTCTTGAAGTCATCAATGGATTCATAGATTTTTCAGGGAGAGAAGCCAACATGAATGGGGAGGTGAAGAGAGGAACCCACAACACCCCAAATTTACCTAGAGGATGGTATCTGTCGTGCAGGTTATCCCAGAGGAAGCGACCATCCACCAGGCCTGTTAGAATCACGTGGCTGCCGTTTGGAAGACGGGAGTCCAGGTACCGCAGAGCTTGCACCACGTTGGAGAGCATTTCTTTGGGTGTGGTCATGTGGGCCAGCGTGTCACGTTCCCTGAAGGAGAGAGAGGATGCCAACAGGACATTGTGTCAGGAATACTGTGTCTACAAAAGGGCACCTGAGACAGAGTCAATTCCTCTGTCTGCTGCTCTTCCACATTAAGTCAGCTGAATAAAACATTAGGAAAATGCTGTGATGTCTCTCACTTGTCATTGCCAAAATCAGATGTGATATAAAAACTTCCCTCCCTCAGCATACCCCATCTTTCTGCTAAAAACAGACAAATCAATCCCTTTTTCATAGAGTGGACTCCAGTTGTGGGTTAACCTCAGTGGGCAGCTAAGCATCAGAGAGTAATCACAGAGAGAGTAAAAGCAAGAACACTTGGGGGTCAAGGTAAAAAACCAAACCAAAGCAATTATTGTTCAATAAGTGAGGAAGAAGTAGAAGAAGAGAGAAAGCAAGCAAAGAAGTAATGCAAAACCAATCCCTCATCACAGCTGGGTGATTGTAGGACTTCTTTCCCCATGGGTTCCTGTACATACCTTACCTTCAACATGCTCTTTGATTATGCAAGGTAGGAATATCTAAGGCTTTGTCTCTCACATGTCATACACCTCCGGGAGAGCAGGAGAAGGGTCTGGAAAATGTGTGAGCCTGGAGAGAGGTGATACCTAAAACTAAAATAGTCCATTGGGGTACAGGAGTTGTGTCAGTGTTCCACATGGACTGAATGCCCACATTTTGTGACTCATTGTCAGGCGTGAACCTCTTCAATGCAGATTCCTCACCTCAGGCTTATCCTTTCCCTCTTTTATTTAGCTGTAAATGCTGCAGGAGTGTGAGGGGAAATTAAATCCTGAAGTTGAAATACATTTCAATTTATATAAGAAAAACAAACAAGCAGAACCACCCCAGGCTGCCTGGAGAACACTGCTCTAGTTATGTTATTATAGCAACCACTTTATTACAGAAAAAGCGATCACGCACTCTCCCACCCGAGAGCTATTGCTGTGCTCTCGTGGTGCATGCGTCCATAGCTGACAGCAAGGGGGGACACAGCCCTGAGAAGGCTGTCCCATCCCCTCAAGAGAGGATCTGTTGGAACACAGGACATTCCTCTGGCTGCTCTGGAGGACTCGAGACCCTGACAGGAGGCCCAGAGACCTTGGCACGGAGTCAAACACACCTGTGCCTTCAATTTTAACCCATGGAGATAATTACCAACTTTGTGTGAAGATTTACAAGCCACAACTGTTTGAGTAGAATGATAGTGAATTTATCACAAGGTGAAAAAGTAGAATTTTGGGGATTTAGAATGGGAGTTCAAGAGGCAAGATGGAGGAATCTGGGTGTGTCTTGTCTTTCTTCTCCTTCTTGTCCTCCATCTTCTGCTGTGATGGTGGCACTTTTGGATTGGTTTAGAGTAGAGACACAATGTCTAACATAGGTGATAGGTATTGGAAAATTATTGTAAATAAAGTACACGTAGTTTTTTGTATAAAAAACTAACACTGCACACTGGACAGTCAGTGTGCCATGAACTGACCTGACAGACAGACCTCAGCAGGTAAGAAAAAGAATTTATTAGATAAGAGAAAATAAACAACCTTGAGAATCAGAGCTGAGGAATCCTAACTTCTTCTTCGGTCGTGGGGCTGGGCAAAAAGAGTCTTTAATACTTCACGAGCCATTTCAGCAACACAAAACTGAGAAGAATCCATCCACCTTGGGAAGGTTTTCATTCTGTCTTGGTGGTGTGGCCCAGCTGAACAAGGTGTTCAGAAAGTGAGGTCAACAAAGACAGGGGATGTCCTTCCAAACAAGAGGGTTGCACTAATGACCACCCTCATTGTTTTAGTGGTTCCCACGTTTTGTCCTCTTACTTGTGCTCTTTGCTTGTAGAAAAGCAACCAGCAGCCAGAAGGCTCCATCCAGGTCCTTTCCTTAGGATAGTCCGTTCATCTCTTTCTTGGCTTCCCAGGGGTAAGAGAAGGGCAAACTTGATGCTTGCAGTGCTGAGCAAGCTGAATTGGGTCAGATTCCTTGTCAGTGAACACCACAGAAGCAGCAGCTTTCCAAAGCACTGTTGCTCTGTCTTGAGGCATTCAAAATGTTTAGATTCAGAGGGGGGAAATGGATGCTGAATCCTGTGTGGGAGAACCATGTTCCCTTAGAAAGATTTGGGATTCTTCACTGAGCTGCATTTTGCATACAAAATAATAATTGGGTGAGTTTCCTGGGCCCAGAAATTTATCTTAATGCAGTATGTGCTGCTGAAGTGTTTGAGACTTTCTAGCAGGGAGAACTAAAAAACAGCATTAGGATTCAGGTTTATGCTTGTGACAGCCACCAAATCAAGCTACTTTTGAGATAAGACTGTGGATTTGCTCTGAAATTACTTCATTTCGCCTACAGGTGTTGCAGCACTTGATTTCAAAATACTGGTCTGATGTAAGGCCTCTACCACAAGTAAACATGTCAGCACAAGCCAAAATTAATATGACATTCATAATTCCACTTTCCCTTGTCATGCAGTGTTGAAGTCATGCAGATATGTCTTCACATTTCTTTTCTGTGCCAGGGTATAAAATTAAATCCGAATGAGAAGAAAGCAACCTTGTAGGCATGTTCAATTTTGGGTCTGCCATAAGGACTCCAAGGTGCCTGGTGGAGCCTCAGGGCCTGTTGTGGTACCCTCACCTCATTCCCCTGGGCTTGCTGCACAGGGCTGGTATGCCCAGGGCATGAGGGCTAGAGGTGCTGCCTGTTCACACACGATTTTTAGGGCAGGAGGGTGCAGCAGCACTTTGGTGCTGACAGATGTACAATAAAGGGGCACAATGCTCTTGCTGGCACTGGTGTCACTTGTACAAGCTCCTTTCACGGCGGGTTGCTGCTCACCCTGCTTTGCTGTTTTGCAGATGCCGTAAGTGCAGATGTGTGAAGGAGAGGCTGGAGAAATGGTGCCATACCCAAAATGCAACCAATATTTGCATTAACTGTGCAGCATTTGAGACTTCTGGTGCTCATTATTTTCTTGTCTGATTTTTTTTTTTTCTGCTAGGTCTCTGTATCCCCTATTCACACCTCAGTGGGCTGAGAGATACCATTGCCATCTGTCTTTATTTTTCTCACCCCCCTGTTTGGACACCACGGTGTGGAGACTACAGGGGATGTGTAACACAGGCTGCCAATTTCATTATCCTTTCCCTCTACCAACATCCCCATTACTCATGGCCCCGCTCTTCGCATGGGATGAAATACCTGCATTTTAACAGTGCTTTGGGAAGAGCTGTGTCTCCAGTATGCTCAGCACACAGCCCTCTTTTGAAGCCAAAATACAGGATAAGGCCAGGAAGGCTGTATGACTGCAGTTTAGAGCTGTCCTTGAAGAGATTTTTATTTGCCAAGCCCTAGGTTTGAAGTCAAGTCCATCAGATGCTCTGCATCCTCTGTAACCTCTGTAGGTACATCAGAGCCAGGGCAACTACACAGTAATAGGACACTGAAACAAATCTCTCTCTGCTGTCCATCCCATTCAATGGAAACAGCACGATGCTACAGAAGCTGTGGCACCTTTCCTTGCAGGAGTCACAGGGATCACCACAGCCTGATAGCCTCTTTTGATGCTGTGAATGTTTTGGAAGAAAACAGACAGAAAACAGCAGTGAGAATTTGAGCAGACAAAAGTGTCTCTGCCAGATAGTGAATGCTGGGATAAAAAAAAAATCAGAGTTTCAAGCAAGCATTAAATACTGCTCTGGAAGGTTTTGGAATATACAAATGGGTGAGGCAAGGTCAAAACGGTTTAAATTTCTGGAAAATTTCTTTTTACTTCAGATGAGCAGAAAGCAGTATTAGAGACAGGGTAAGCAAAAGGAATAGCCTGCAGAATGAGGAATAAAAAAAAGGAAAAGAGGTGCTTTTAGCAAAGGCAGTGACACAGCAGAATTTAAATATGTGCACAACAGAGCCTGGGCCAAGCCTGTGAGAAGACACCTTGAAAGTATCCATGGCAGGAGCCATGGCCTTCGGCAAAGGTGGAATTTTATTTTTTGTGTTGGAGGGAGTAGGGGCTTTATCATCCTGGCAATGGATGCAATGATCTCTCCATAAACTTCCCAGTAAACTGGTCCCCAGGACAGTCTTATCAGCAAGTACCAGGGAGCCTGTGACTGCTTTTTCCTCTCAGAGCATGATAGCACTGCTTTTGAGGATTTGTGCATCTTTTCCCTGACAGGAGCAGGGTGCTGAGGGCAGGTTTGGCAGTTCTGGGCAGGGGTGCAGAGAGAGCATGAGCACCAGAGGGTGAAGGTTTCATGGGAGGTGATTTCTGTGTGCTGCCTGCATGTGGCTGGGTGAGGGTCATGCCAGGAAAGAACACAAAAGGTGCCCCTGTGGCCCCACTTCTGCCACAGCTGAGGGCTCCCAGGTTCTGCAGGGCTGTGGAAAGTCCTGCCTGGCTTTGGACATCCTCATTTGGAACACAACACCTGTCAAACAAACCTTCAACCCATGAACTGCCTGTTAAGCAGTTTTAGGACACCAAACCTTGGCCATTTTCATGGCCACATCTGACAGCCTGCATATAGCTCCCACTTTGTTATACAATCTGCAGGTGAGAACTTTCAAAACCTTTGGCAGGAAACTTAGCTGAGTGTGCAGCATTTGTTAAAGGGAGTGTTTTGAAAGTCTCTGTGTAAGAAAGATTGATTTCTCCCGCGCACAAGAAAAGCTGAAGATTGACCATGGTGAAAATAATGTTGCACTAGCAACGCACCAGGCCTCCTGCAAAACCAAAACTGCAGCATGGATGTGCTGTGTCCTGGCCTGGTTGCAAGGTGCTTTTTGCCTTCCCACTACCAGGAGAAAGGGAAGCATCCAGCCAGTGACCTCTTGGTGTCCGTGTGAGCACTGCTAATGGGTAATAACCAGAACTATTAGTTTTGAAAGCTTCAGTTCATGCTCCTGCAGAGTTTATGATGTGAATAAAGCCAGAAAGACAAAACACCTCATCAGGGGAGCACAACACAGAGTGCAGGAAGCAGAGGCAGGGTGAAAATGGACCTCGATAGGGGACTGTGTTGTTATTCCTCAGAAATGATGAACCAGGCATGCTCTCCCTCCTGCGAGGAGGTGGCACAATGGGTAAGATGGATATACATGCTTTTAAACACTTCCCCCTCCTCCTGTTGTTATTATTCATTTCCTCTGCTAAGTTAGAAATAATTACCTCAGACATACCATTAGTCATTTTATGACTGGCTTATAAAAGAAACAAAGAAATGCAAGCTCCAAATCAGGACTGGTAGGTGCCTGTGAAAAACACAGGTAAGGAAACAACAAGTATTTTCAGCAGAAAATTAAGAAAGAAGGAACAATAACAAAGAAAAAGGCCATAATGGACAAGCACAAATCAGTGAGACACAAATGTCCAGACAGTCAGCTGTACTCAAGTCAAATTTATGCTACTATAAGTGTTCATTTGGTTTACACCTTACCCATTGCAGACATCATTCCCAATTGTAGCATAGATAACTATGGCTGGGTTGTCCAACAGCTGGTTTCTGGCCAAGCTAAAAGATAAATATGGAACTATGTTATTGGGGAAATGCACTCTGAGTGTCTGAATCACACACCATGCTTGTGTGAGATCATGTTTAGAAGTATCCCACTTGTATATGGCCAATACCCAAATGACTGTGCTCCTATGTTTGTGAGAGGCTTTTTTGTTTTGTTTTGGGTTTTTTTGTGTGGTTGGTTTTTTTTACTCTAATTTTATGTTTTAGTAAAGTGACTTCAATGCAGTTATATTCACTTCTCCCTTTCACTGCTCATGGACTTGTCTTTTTCACTGTTTTTCCTGCTGGCTTTCCATTTTCTTTGTGTTATTCAGAAGCCAAATCAAATAGTTTCACTTTGGGGCAAAGGCATGAATCAAGATGGGAATTTTTTAATCAGAGATGGGAGAGGAAGACTAGGTTTGGCTGACAACTAAATCTATGTGTAGAATTGAACTAAAGATCAAATCAGGATGTGGTTTGAATCTCAGTGCTAGAGGGCAAGAATTCATTACTTCTTTGTCAGGATGAGAGAAAAATAAATCCTTTAGGACACAAACTATATCAGAGTCAAGCAAACTAAATCAAACCCAGCTGACCCACAACCCACCCAAATTCATCTGAAAAGGAGAGTTTCAGCCTCTCACTACTCAGTAGCTACTCAGTTATATCCATATGGAAGTAACAGTGGGCCTGCCCATGTCTATCTACATTGCTACACATAGTTAAGGGGACCCAACACAGATTTATGGAAAGGCTTAGTTGCTCCCCTAAAATCACTGGAAATGCTCTACTGGCTTAACAGAGCCAAGTTCAAGGCCCTGGAGATGATGATATTCACTCTTAAACCCAGGTTTCTTCTGTTTATGAATGTTTATACTAGAGAAGAAAGAGCCAGCACTTCAGAGCACACTGGTCAAGGGAAGCTGTGCTTCTTAGAACATTCATGGATAAAATAATCCTCACAGTGCTTTGCTTGTTTCTGTCAAAGAGGTAGAACTCCATCAGTGCTCCTGTACCTCAAGTTAGCTCTTGAATCCCATTAGGCACGCACCTTTTTATTAAAGAGAGGAGGTTTCCTGAAGAACCACCTGATCACACATAGAGGGAACAAGAGAAATAGTACAACATTGTTATAGTGACAAAAAAAACCCCTGATTGCAAAACCAAATTACATTGCATATTTCCAAGAATGTAGAAGCCCTAAAAGTAAAAATGGAGCAACAATTCCTCTCTGTAACCTTTTGAGGTGTTGGCACCAAGAAGTAAAGCTATATTGAGGGACCTGCTGCTTTCTTATCTGAATTGCACACTTCAGCCTGTAGAAAATCAAATACTTTTAAGTGCAGGGTTATTTGGATCTGGCTTTTAATCCAGATCTGGCAGCTTCTTCCCATCTGTTGAACATAGTAGTCTCCTGTAAACCAGCCAACCTGACTTGTCAACAGTCAATCTATTTTAACTTTCCCTATAAATTGCAAAGGGAACTGTTCTCACTCTTCTGAGAGAGTAAGTGTCTCACAGCTATACCACATTGGGACTGATTCAGGTCCTAAACATAGGCACCAAGTGCCATTTTTGACATCCCAGAGTTTCCAAGACACCTGCAGCAGGGCTGGCAGATACATCACAAGATGCATGAGAGATTGTGCACTTCTGGATAGGCAGCTGGAGGTGGGAAAGATACCATAAAGCACCTCAAAGAGCTGTAGACACCAGTGTTTGGGTTCCTGCAGTGCTCTCCCCACAAGTGTCAGACTTTTTCTAAGTAGTATTAGGCTAGCTGCACTCCTCCCAAGATGAGTTCAAATTTAGCAATTCATCCAAAGAGTTGGATGAAAATCTTTCCTCCTTGAGCAAAGGAGCTGGCCACACCTAAACATCTGTGAGCATCTCTAACATTTAATTTATATTTTGAATGAGAAAAGCATTCCCATTTAGTAAAGCTTTTGTGCATTAAACTTATTAGCAGGTCTTTAAAGGCTATGCATATTCATCCCAACCATCTCCAGCACACAAATCAAACTCCATCACCTGCAGTATAAGAGGGATAGCAAACAAGGAGCCAAACCAGGCTCCTTTAGGCTTTGGTCAAGATGAGACTAGGTCTGTGATTGCAGGAAGCTCACCTCATAGCAAGGTACAGAAACATAAACTTCAGAGAAGCAGATCCTGCAGGTCATACTTGCTCTTATTTTTCAGTATTTTCACACTCTCCTCTTTTTTCATTCCTTCTCCTGTTATATTATCCTCCTCCTATTCTCATCTCAATGCTTCCCTGATCTCTCTCTTCTCTTTTCTGCTTTGTGCTCCTGAAGCTTGCTTTGAGGAGTAAATCCTGCCCTCCCTGCAGCTCCTGAGGGGAAACTTGTGGACAGAACATCATTAAATCCCTGCTGGATTGGTATGGGGGAAGAGATCTGAGATATAAACCCCTAAGGTAGCAATAGTACACTTTGCATTTTAATAGTGGTGCCTTTGTTATTGTCACTCACAGTGTTGCCAACCGCATATATCAAGGAATCCTTTGTGTTTTAAATAATCCAGTTCTTCCAAGCTGAAAATGAATGTATCTATCTGCTGCTTCTCTCCTGGGGGTTGCTGATCCATTCAAAGATCCTGCCCTTCTATTGAGAAGCTCTTTTCAGCAGGGTAAGAGCCCCACAAAAACCTCAGAAACTATGGCTTGGAACATAACTACCAAAAGTTGGGTTTTTTTCCTGTTTAACAGCCCTTCTTTCAGTTAGAGCTGAACACCCTCTGTTAAAGCCATTCTGTCACAAGGCTCCCTGGACTGTGGCTGTGGTTTCAGCATAAATAAGCTAGTGGGACCTCTAGAAATTAAAATGTGTTTACAAAAAAGCAATAAGCTGTTCTTGGGTATGTATTACCTCCACAAGCATAGGTAGTTATAAGAAGCTCAGTGGAAAGCATTAGCACAGTCACAAATCAAAATATCAAGAAAATGAATGGGTATTTTAGAAAGGAGTTTTTATGGGTAAATTGAGTCTTCATGGAAGCTTTTGTGATACAGGATGAAATCTGTGATGAAAACATTTGAGAGAAATAAGGAGACGAAGCAGAACAGTTGCCCTTACACTGTTCAGTGGCCTGGAATCTACTCCTGGATCTTTCCTGCCTCTCTCTCTCTGTTGCTTTCTAAATATTCTCAGACTGCTGAAGGTTTTTTTTAGTTTTGGTTGAGAAATCAAGGTTGGGTTTGCTTCCAGTTGTGAGGGAAAGGTCCATCACCTCCAGAGGATAATGGGATTTTTTAAGAAAGGGAAGGCAGAAATCCTGTTAGCACGGAGGCTGGGGAAGCCTTTCTCCATGGTGAAGATGCATGTCCTGATAAGAGCAGTGGGGGAATGTCCCTTTGTGCTGAGTCTGACACAGTGCTGGGGAGCTGGACAGGAACATTGTTCTTGGTGCCTGGCTTGGCTTGCCATCCCTGGGCTCCAGCTCTTGGCTGCATATCTCCCCCACCAGATCAGCATCCTTTCCTTGCACACATGTGGGCCTGTGAAGCATCATTTTCAGAGGAAGGTTTAGGTGTCCCCAGGTGGGGTTAGGTCAGGCTGTTCAGCTGTTTGCTTTATTGACACTGAGGGTAGCTTTTTAAATCCTCCCATTCTGGGAAACTATTACACCAAATGAGGCAATAAAAGTGAACCTTTACACTGTAGTGTCAGTGTGATGATTTAGAGAAGATATGCTGAGATTCTTCTCTTGCTGGTAATTTTTCCCTTTTTAAATTCACTTCTTAATTTTCTGCAGTCTTTTGCCGTGACACAGGCTCACCTCTTTTTATATCCTGCAGGTGTCTGTAGTGTAAGTGGAAAGGGGATATGTGGAGAGAAAAACGAATGATGAACACAGTGAGAGATTATAAAAAAATCTACAAGGGAATTGGGGAAAGGAAGCACATGAAATACCACTCCCATTAATGTAAAAAGAGCAGAACAAAATAATTAGGGTATCGGGCTGAGGTGAATTGGATATAAATGAGAAGAACCATTGGCTTAGTCATCCATGACCATCTAGTCTGGCCCTTTTTAAAATTCTGTCTCACCAGAAAGGCCACCTGGAGGACTGCAATGATGGGAGCCACTAACTAATGCCCTGCAAGTTACAGGCAAGAAAGTCAGAAGAGCCTGGCTGATGGCACCAAAGACGTTGTAAAACACTTTCATAGCAGACTCCAAGCCTCAGGAGCACCACGTGTGCCACAGGAAGGAGCAAGGCATATGAGAGGCATTGCCAGTGTCATTGGTGCTGCCAGAATGCAATTTTTAAGGTGAAAATGCCCACCTGAGCCTGGAAGTGATCCCTGCATCATGCTACCTGTCTGTGCAACCTCTTCTGCCTGGTAAGATCACAGACTCACAGAATCACAGAGTTTTTAGGGTTGAAAGCAACTTCTGGAGATCATCTGGTCCAACCCCCGTGCAAGGCAGGGTCACCTCAAGCAGGTGACACAGGCACACATCCAGGTGGGGTTGGAATGTCTCCAGAGAGGAAGGCTCTACACCCTCCCTGGGCAGCCTGTTCAGTGCTCTGCCACCCTTAGTGTAAAGGAGTTCCTCCTCATCTTGAGGTGAAACTTCTTGAATTTTATCTTATAGCCATTGCTCCTCATCCTGTTGCTGAGCACCACCAAAAGACTCCAGCACTGTACTCTTGGCACCTGCCTAAGAGATGTTTATATGCATCTGTTTGTAGGAGGTGGAGGGCTGGGGCAGATCCTTTCTGATCAAAATTTTTTTCAGGAAATTCCAACCATTTAATAAGTTTCTAAGTAGTTCTAGAGACAGCAGGGCTCCTCATTTGTAGCCAGCATGAATCATCTGCTGGAAAGGAAGAACATCCCATATAGCCAAATTATCTACCCGAGGAAAATAAATTTTCCCAAGCTTCTGCAGCCAGTTTTCTGAAGCATGAAAATTAATTAAATACAATAGAAACAAAAAGGCATAATCACAGCATAATCAAGTGTACTTTAAGCCTGCTGTTAGGGACATCAGCTAATCCAAGACACAAAAGCTAACATCATAAAACTCAATTTATAAGACTACTGTCACGCATTCATACAACCCCTCTGACAACTCAGGATTTCTTGTTTGCCTTCATTCCTCTTGTTTAAGATTTTCACTCCTGATAGCTTTTTTTGAAAAAAAAATAATCCCCCCAAACAGAGGTAAGTTTAATGAAAACCCATGTTCTTGTACCAGAACTATCTTTCAGTTTAAACTATTCTTCCACCTCTGTTTATGCCTCAAAGGAAATCAAGTTGGAAATACCTTTTAAGTAATGCTTTGATCAAATGTCAATGTGTTGTATTATACCTTCAGAAGTGTCCATTGCCCTAATCCTCCCCAAAACATTTCCCTGTGTCTCCATCAAGGTCAGTCCTCCTTAGAGAAACAGGACCAAAGTCTGAGGTCTTATCAGGACTTGTATGAGGAAGGACTGTCTCCCTGTCTCTAGACAAAATGCATGCCTGATGCATCTTGAAGCCTTACTCTATTTCCTCATCTACCCTGCACACGTGATGGTTTCTTGAAATTTCTCTTTGCACCCCAATGGCCACCTCTGGCTGATGGGCCACTAGTTTACAGAGAAGTCTCATCTTTACTTCTTTCATCCACGTTTTGTACAATTTTATAGCATGTATTTCCTGCAAGTCCTGCCTCTGCTGTTCCCAAGCTCATGTAAATTATTCCTGTGTAAGGATGAGCCCCACTCCAGGATGGTTAATTTAGCATCATTCACAGAAGCCATCAAACACGGGCCTTGGTCTTTGCCCTAAGGTCACCACTCCAAATGTTAAGCAGCATTAGCCTCAGGAGAGATGCAGAAGGGACACGGCTTCACTCTCAAATCCACTGCTCTTCCCTGCTTAGCTGCTTCTCTACCCACTTCTTATTTCTTGTAGTAATCTTCCTCTTCTTCACTGCACACTGGGGTACCATGCAAGACACTTTCCTTAATTCTAGGTAGATCAGGTCTGCTGCATATTTATATATGTAATATATAAATATGTACATTACATATTTATATATTTAATCTGCATATAAATGTTATATATATATGTATACATGTTACATATATTTGTATATATATGTGTGTGTTTTTAAATAGAAAGATGATGCGCGCCAGCCCCACAAAATAAACTAATCAAAACCCAACAGTGGTAAATTTTGTTTATGTCTTTGATTACTTATTAAAAATCTGTTCTGAGAGCACATTAGGATGCCAGCCCCACTGGGTTAAATAAGTGCTGAGTTAAGTAGGTGCTGTTCTTTATTTTTCCATAAGAAATGCATGCAACTAAGAAGGGGCTTCTCTTTGTTCCTGACAGATGTTCATTAATGCAGCATCAATTATCAGCACTGGCAATTTCAAAAATAATAATAATAATAATAATAATAATAATAATAATAATAATAAAAAAGTGTAAAGATGTTACCATACCATTTTGGGAAATGTTCTGCAAGTCTCTGTGATTGCAGCGATTTCTCTTGCGTAAACGTAGATACAGAGAGTCTGTCCACCCTCTGAAATAAATTGAGAAAATGCAAACTGCTAAAGTCATATGATAATGATGAAAACACAGCTGATATTAAAAATGAAGTGTGTTCTTGTCTCTGAAAAACTCAGTACCCCAGTTATGTATATGCTTCTATTTCACCATCTCTCTCTTTTTGTGGCCATAAATCTTTTTAATCTTGAACAGGGTGGCTTAAATAAAGCAAAGATACCTGCTCAGAAACTGTAAACTGATGAAGAGTTTCTCTGACATTGTTCCATCCAGGAACAATCCTTTTATCCTGGTCTTTCAGATAAGGCATTTAAAAACCTTTTTTTTATACATCATTTATCAAAACAATTCTGTTGGTTGTTCACAAATTGACTTTTCAATTGGTTGTTATGGAACAGTAAGTAAAAGAGAAGAAATATTGGCAGGACAATCATTTCCCAACATCATAAATCTTGGACAGATTAATCTGAAAACAGGTTACGCTTGGCTGTTATAAGTTTTCTCCTTTATTTTGCACGGTGGAGGAAAAAAAACCCAAAACAAATGAAAAGGATAACAGCCCAGAGGGTGATGAAAAGATCAAGCTCCCAGCTATGAGTACACAGTCATTTCAATCTGGGCTGCAGCTGTTTGTTTATTTGTTGGGTTTTTTTTATCTTTCAGGAGTGGAAGAGATTAAAAACTGAACTCTGGACCAAGGCTATCATTGACAACTTCAGGGGCAGTTCTAAGCTCTGATCACTTGTGAGCTTCAAATTCTTTGGAGCACAGACAAGTAGTGTGTACTGAGAGGCTGGTCATTGTAACAAATTTTTAAACATCAGTTTTGCCATGGCTCTGATAGAGAAGGTTGCACAGACCTTTCCTGTTGGCTTGTCAAGTAGTAAACTGTCTTAAAGCAGATACTGTGTGAATGCAGCTGAGCCTGAGAGCCTGGATTTTGCACAGGGAGGAAAAAAGGAAACAAAAAGTGCAAGGATATGGTGCCACAGATATTTTTACAGGAAAAAAAAATGTTATTCTGCCAACTTTTAAATTCTGCTGGTAGAAAGCCTCTTCAGGCTTGACCCATGCTTGGTTTGGCATTCAGCTGTATTCCTGACTTATCCTAGACATAAAAAATAAAAATTATCTGAAACTTAGGTCACACCAGGCACTGGGTAATGATTGTATCCTACAGCTCTTCTAGTATTCAAAGGCCTTTTAATGCTGGCCAGAGAGATGATTAATAAAAAATCTGGGTTTTTTTTTTTGTTTGTTTGGGTTTTTTTTTTTTTTTTTTTTTTTTAATTTCACAGTTACAACTGCAGGCATTTCAAGGTGTTTTGTGTTTTGGACTTTATTTTCCTTCCCTTCTGGCAGGGAGTTTATTTTTTTCCATCTATGCCTGCAACCTTCCCCATCCAAATGAGCCAAACTAACACAGCAAATTAGGTCACAGACTCTTTCAAATTCTCCTTTTGCTATTTCCCTCTAAATGTGTTAAAAAAAACAACAACAACAAAAAAAACATGTGGGAAGAGGAGAAGAAAGATTTCCTCCCAGTAGGGAACACTATGAAATAACCATGGGGATACCCTTTATTCCACTATTTTCATCAGCAAAAAGGAAACATGAGGAAAAGAGGAAGATTAAAAAAAAATAAGAAAAGAGAAAGGCTGATTTTTGTTACTTTCAGCAATGCTTTCCTTCCCATGAATTTTGTAAAAAAAAATAGTTTCTCTTTTATTTCTTTGGGGTTTTTCTCCTTCTAAATTACAGTTTGACTGATTTTAAAACCTACCCTGAATTTCAGGAAGACTTGCTTATATATATTTAAAATATCTTTTAAAACCCAAGATCCAGGGTTGATCTTGGTTTTAGAAAGAGCAGATGCAGAGCTGAATAGTATTTTTCTCTTTCTGTTCAAGCAGTTTTGGTTTTTTTTCTTTGCTGTACTCTGAGAGACCTAGGGACTTGCTATGGCTTGGCCACCCTGTCTGTTTGCTTACCCGATGGTGGAATTGAGAAATCCAGTGATCTCTGAGAACTGGGGCCAGTCAAACTCATCACTGAAAGCCATGGGGAGATTAGCAAATGATTTCTGAAAGAGAAATTTTAAAATCAACCTGGTTTCACCCTCACAGACATAAAATCCTCTTAGCAAATTTGAACAGTTCTTAGCCAGAGCATTAGCCAGACAACAGCAATTTTAACTGCCATAGTAGTGGCAACTATGTATGCATATTCTTAAAAAGTTGGCTTTTGTAAGACAGGCGTAAGAGCAGAAGGAGGAAGGAAAAACAGGGAAGATATTTGAATTGCAGCTCTTGGTGCCCTTTTTTCCTGAAAGAGTCCAAAACTCCTCCTGAAAGAGTCTAAAACTCCTCCTTATGTGAGCAGGTACTGCAGGTGCAGACCCCCAAGGCAGCAGCTGATTGCTCCAGCATCCATCCTGCCCAAAGGTGTGGCAGCCTTGGGCACAGCAAGAGATGACAGTGTGATGTCCCCAGAGAATATGGCAAAGGCATAATGTCAAATTCTCTCAAAGCTTCCCTGCCCTCTACAGCAGGATGAGGTGAGAACAGCCAATCCCCTGAAAACCTCTGCCTGGTCCTCACTAAATTTTGGGGATGGCACTAAAGCAACAGGGTCAGAAAGGCCTCTGAGCATGGCAAGGAAAAGGGAGAAAAGCACATCATCTGGCATAATCTTCCTGTGCAAACACATGCATCCTTTACCCTTCTCTGTTTTGCTGATATTGGTCCCTAATGCTTTTTTACAGTGACTGCCCCTGTGAAAGCCTCTCCACAGATGCAAGCCATACTGCACATTCAAAACACAGTGCCCAGTTCTTTCCCACTTTGTTTTCTGAAAGTCCCAAAATTCATGGAAGGTTAGGAAAATAGCCTTAATAAATTGTGCCACCTCAGAAGGACAAAACATGGAGTAAATTTCCAGCTTCTCCTGGTCTGGGGTATGCTTGTAAAGACAAATGTATAAATCCAATGTGCTCATAAAGAGGAAAACTGCTGATGAAAAAGGTAATAACCAAAAGAAGGTCAAAACATAAAATCAGAGAACCTACAGGCTGGTTTAATCCATATAATTTATTAGCTTCATTTTCTCTTCAAGCAATTGCGGGGTTTCCTTAAGACCTCACTGCTATAAACAACAAGCAGGTGGATAATTCTTTATCCAGGAGGGTGAGAGTAACTGAAGAGCTAGAAAACAGCTAAATCTTGTGCTCCCCACCAAGTTCTAATTCCAAGAAAATTATTGTTTAGGTGAATGGGAGCTATACTTGAGGCTATGGCTTGAGTATGTGTCTAAGGGTTTTGACTGTAAGAGGATGGAGAGAGATGCAGGGAAAAGGGAGGAAAGGCAATTCAAGGGGGGATTGTGGGGGACAGGAAATCCTGAAGTCACTGCTCTGAGCAGTCTAATGCACAGCAGATGCCACTTTAAAGCATGTAACAGCACATTTGACCCACTTACAGCACATCTGCATTAGCTACCAAGGTGAAAAGGGGCCTGTCTTAATTATCCTTCAGTTTGGTCTTTCTTTCTCACACACGTGTCCTTGTGTGTATGTGTACATACATATAAAAATAAAAAACATTCAATTTTTTAGGGCTGCAGGGAAACTTCAAATTTGCCTTCTTCAAATCTGTTAGTTTTGTGTGCTAACAAAAAGTACTTAATCCAAGGGCACAGATATGAGCAGAAGTGGAGGGATACAGCATAGCTTGGCCTTCTGCAATATTTTCCTCCTCACAGGTTAGCATTAGAGGTGAGAGAAACAGTCACTAGGACAGAAAAAACCCTTCAGATGTGATCTCTTATAAATGCCACATATATTAGAGTATAAGAGAGATAAAAATTATTTAATACTTTTTAAACAAATAGTTTTATGAACAATTCTCTCATTACTTACCATTGGCACTCCAAAACAATATATTCATTGGACAAGTCCCAGTAATTTCTAACTGTTTGGTTTTTTTTCCCCTACAAACTTGGCTTAAATATGAATTTGCCAGAGCCTAATTGAGTTGCAAATTGATTTGAAGAGGAACGTTTGAGCCCAAAATTACAGTTGCATTTGAAAACTGGATAAGCATTTAGCATTGACACTATTCCAACAAAGCACTTAAGGGCCAGACTTTTGAAGATATTTCAGGTCCAAAGGGTGAAGATGAGTAGTTAATGGAAAATTCAGAAGAATGCTGAACCTTAAACTCTGCATTGATGTAGTTTGGAAAGTACAGCCTAACAGACTGTGTTGCTTAGTCTCAGATGCAAATGTGTCCCACTCTAGAGGTGCAACTGTGTTGACTTTTAGCATAAAACTCTCTTGAGCACAGCCTTGTTTAAATACCATTCTCTAGACTATTCTGGCTGAGAAACCAACTTCAGCCCACATGCCAGATTTTAGCAGAGAATCAGTAGAAAATTATTCTAGCCTAGCTTCAAATGCCATATTTCAGCATTAAATGCTTTAGATGGGTCTCATTCCAGTGAACATCCTCCTCTCCTAGATGTGTCCTGTCTTGGAGCATGGGGCAGCCAGAGCCATGGCTGATGCTGAATGCACACATGCCAAGCAGTGCTTAAATGGAAGAAAGTTCAGGGTTGCTGTGGCAAGAGATTTTCAGAATCAGAATACAAAAGGGCACTGGAAACCTCACACTCATACAAGTCTTTCCATCCTGAAAATCTTAAAATCATTGAGGTATACCTTAATTTGAAGGAAAATTGGATGTTTCTTTTTATGATGATTTTAATGCTGTTCAAATACTGGTGAGAATATTAAGTATCATAGACAACTTTATTATTCTAAGAATACAAATAAGAAAACCTTAAGCTCTTGAGAAAAGCACAGCCTATTCTTTTTAAAAAGCAAAAATTGCATTTCTGCTCTGTAAAGCTTCAAGGGACAGAGGTTTGAAATTAGCAAAACTATTACCTTATTTCCCACAAAATTAAATGTCTTACTCATGACAATACAAGCTTGGAGAAACCTGCCTGCATTTCTCTGGATCTAGAGAAATGCTAGATAATGTTTTTAAAAAGAATTGCAAGCATCAAACTCCTGGGTTTTTTTGTAGTGGTACGAAAAAAGAGAAGTCAGTGGGAAAAGTGTTTGGAACATTGTGAATCCACATTTAAAGAAATGATGAATTCTGCTAATAGGAAATAAATAATATGAAACAGTTACTTTAAGGATATCTGAGAACCCCCTGAGTTTGTGGGCAACTAGGTATCTACTGGACTATGGATAATGTAGGATTTATTTTTATCTTTATTCAGCAACAAAATAGTGATCCAACAGTTTTAAATTGCATCTTTCCAGAAAGGGCATTATTTCCATCACATTTATAAATATAGAGCTTTTACCTCAAAATAAAAATGTCTCTAAAATGAGATATGAAGGTTGCTTCTATTCCAGACATACAACAGAAAAATGCTGTAATTAGTAGCTATTTGGAAGTCAATAGTAAGCAGATGGACAGAGCAGCAGGAGCACAATATCCATCACTAGACATACTAGTGTTTTCAACATGAGCTTTCTGCAAAAAAATCTACCTCAAAAAACCCCTAGTACTTCTGCTTTCATAGGCCTTATAAAGTGCATGTCTACTGCATTACACTTCACTTTTAGCATCCAGATTTTCAGGTTAAAGGGTTGAACATTCAGCTCAATTCTTGCTGAAACTCTTCAAAGAAAAATCTGGCAAACCCAAGAAAGTCAAAATAAAGTTGACTTGACCCCTTCTTAGAGATGTATCATTCTCTTTGTGTAAGACACCTGGGACTTCCCCTATACAGGGAAGAGTGGTGGTTTTTTAGTTGTTTTCTTTCTTTGATTGTTTGTTTCAGCTGAAGAAATAGCATGTCCAAGCTGCAGTTTTCAAAGATGCTTCCACCTCATAATGGGTGTTTCCCACACCGAGTAATGCCTCCATGTGCTCCTTCTGGGAAGAACCTCCTCTGAGAGGGATGCTAACTATTTATGTGACTGGCTCCCAGCTAAAGCTTTGGAAATAGCACTGGAAAACAAGAGTGCCCCCTCTGATATCTAGCATGCCAGAGGACTTGATGTGGGAAGAGTGAATGATGCAACTTGATGCATCCTGTACAAAATGAGACATATAACAGCAGCATGTCCCCCTGCATCACCCCAGATTACACTGGGGGTTATGGCCCTTACAGGGCAAAGCTAAGAGGGCAATGAATTCCTAATTAGACCACGAAATCCAAAATCCAATGTATAGCATCTTCCCAGCAATGCTCTTCAAGTCAATGGCATGGACATACGAATTCCAAAGCTATTCAGCCGAAATCTTATCTTGTCACCCCTGTGTTGAATATCCAGCTACCCAGACAACTTCCTGAGTGAAGTTCTCATTCACACTCTCTTTTCTTTCCGTACTCATCATAGGATCTCCTTTGCAAGGTAGACTATGCAAAGCAAAATTGGGGAAAACAACCATTCTGCAGAGCCTTTTAATGAAATACTTGGCATCTCTCCTAAAAAATTATTTCCTCACCTAATTAGCTTTAAAACTGGAATTAACAGCTGCCACTGATGTGGTGCTGATTAGCAGATGGGCCCACAGCATTGTTACCAAGTGTAAATTTTACTTTACACCTGTAGATGTAAACACTTGTAAATGTAAACACACAAAAGGATAAATATAAATAAGAAATATGTGAAATATAGAAAGCATATAAAATGAATATGTACAAATATAGAAAAATATTAAAGTAATAAAATAATTCACAGAATAAATCTAAATTAACAGGCACAAAACTTTTTTCTGTACCCATGATAAAAATTCTGCACAGGGCAGGGGCGTGGAAGTGCTATTTGAAATTCCATGTAGAGGTTTGAGGTTCTATTGAAATGAAAATTAAAGCTTTGAATATGCTCTAGTATTGAGTGTGGATAAAACCATTTGACAAACTAATATTTTTATGCGCCTTATCAAAGAAATTTTGGCAGAATCAAAGCCAACTGTCTTGAGTTAGACGGCACAAAGGAACAGCAGGTACACAAAGATGATGCCTTTTCCTCTCTTCTCCAAGGCCTAACTTCAAATTCTTGCTGTGGTCCCAGATTAAAGATGTTTCCTGCAAGATTAGGACATAGACTCTCTGCATTCTCTCTGGTCACAAAACCATCTCTGGATGGGCTTCAAAATTCTCCTTGCGGGAAGCCTCACACTGAAAAATCATTGAAGCCAGTTAATTTGTTAACTAAGCCTAGAGATGAAGAATATTTTCCAGTGGCTTTTAATACAACAAAAGAGACAGCAATATTGCACCTTCACAACCCCAAGGCAGTTAAATTGCTGCTGTTGACATCCTCCAGAGAGAAAGCAAGACACAAACGACAAGGAAAAGGAAGAGGCAGTGATAAAGTCAGAATTAGTTCAGAAATGGTATTGCTAGTGCTTTTGTGCTCAGGTGACAGCTTCTGCACTCATGGTGAGCTCCAAATTAAATAACCTTTTACTTTTGCTAGAGTTTAATCACAAACACTAGTTTTTATACAACTGAGATCTCTGTATGTATGCATTAATATTTAACTGATTTATTTTTGCCATTTGGTTGGTAGGAAAGCTTGGAAATAGTCCTAGAAAAAACATGTTGTTTCCTATCCCAAACCTTACATATATTTTTTGGGCCTTACACAGAGTGCACTAATTCCCTCCCCGTGCAAGCTGCTCTGCACTGATCAGATAGTAACAAAGAGCCTCCAAAACTCACTTTTGTAATCTGCACTCCAGCTCCCAACCTTGAATCTTGTGCCTTGGCATGATATTAGCAGACCTTGACCCATCCAGCTGGTGGATCAGCAAGCTTCAAGCAAGAGAAATTCTTTCTAAATCTTCATTACAATGATAATAAAATGCTGACATAGTCTAAAACTGTTCTTGCCAACATGACTTTACCACCAGCCTTACTGTCAGAATCATCCTTGCCATCAGTATTATGATCATCTTTATTAGATGAGATAATCTCAATTATCATTAGTGGTAATTTATTATGTTCCTCATCAGCTCTGTCATCAGTGTCATTCGTGTAATTGTTGTTCATAAGCATTTAACAAAGAAAAACAATGGCTAATCTGCAACATTTAAATCAGCTCTAGGAGCAAAAGCGGGAAAAAAACCCATGAAACTCTCAGGCCTCCCACAGCACAATAACTACTAAGTCTGGGAAAAGAATTGTTCTCCAGGAAATGTCTGTAATCTTATTCTACAGCCACCAGTGGATGTGTAGAAGTTTTTCATCAGGAAGGGTGGGCATGATGATCTATCTGCTATCCCCTGTGCAACAGACTCTTGGGCAGAGAAGGACAAGGTACAGTCCTCCCTGGCTAGAGACTGATAGGATAGGAAACAACAGTGAAGGTCAGGAACATACCTGCACATTTATCTCCACCCCATAATTACAGTTTGCTGGAATGATCTTTTCCTCTCAATTATTTCATTACATGCCAGTGAACTGCAACAGGCTCAGTATAGTTCACAGTCAGGTGCATTTTGTTTTCAAAAATAGGAAATGCTGGGATAACCACCCAAGGATAGACATCAGTGTGACAGGGATATTTCATGGTCACAGGAACTCTTCCCTTACGGACAAATCTATTATAAATACTTGGATGACCCTCAAACACCTGCGAATGCATTTGTTCAACAATCCTCAAAACCAGAACACTGGAGTTATGAGACCTATTTCACATATGCCACAGGATGAGGGAAAACAATCCAGGGCACGTCATTTCAAAGCCAGATTCCTAAAGCAGAAATTCCCCGGCTGTCAGCAGGGTCACTTCTGCAAACACCCTCTCAGCAAGGAGCCATCCCAAGCGGGCTGCTAATGGCAGGTCTGATCCCACAGACAGCACAGGTCTCCTTGAGCTGCAGGCACGTGTGTGGAAAGCCAGATGTCCTGGTTTGTGTGTCTGGCACAGCACCGGGACGCTGCAGCCAAACTCTTGCCTGACCCAATTGCACAGATGCCGGAGGAGCGGCAGCAGCACAGGGCTGTGCTTTTTTATCTTCACAGGAGCAGATGCCAGAGGGGACCGATACACGTGAGACCATAACTACAAATTCCAGTGCAGTGAAGCATTTTGCACTTGTTTCCCCTTGGCAACCTGCAGCACAGCAGAGAGAGCAAATGGCAATCAGTGGTTTTGGCAAGCTGAACGTGGTTCCTCACCGCTGACATCTGCGTGGCGGTCATCCACTCGGGAGGGATGTGGAAGTGAGCGCCGGCCGAGTCCCCCAGGAGCACGACCCCTCTGGAGTCTGCACCTGATGGATGCATTTTGTTAGTCACATGGGCAGAAAGGGCAGCTGAAACCCAGCTCTGAGAGTGCTTAAAGAGGAGCAGCAGTAGCAGCTGATGGAGTCACAGGGTGACTGGCTACACCACCCTTCACATGGCTTAAATGTTCAGACACTGCAATAGGATTTCACTCCATCTGCAGCAGAAACCATCTAACAGGCATTTGCCAACAACCCTAGAGAAACAACTGGAGACTGGGCATGAAAAACAGGGGGAGGTCTTGCTAATCAGAAAAGAATCCTGGCTGTATTTAAACTGTGTGTTATTTCAGCAGAGGTTCTGCTGTGCAGACAGTGTTTATTTTTGCTATCCATAGATTATGCATTAAAAAGTACTTAAACATTTAGGGAAATCGGATTACTCAGAAAATTGCTCAAAGCTCCTTATAACAGAACTGGGTGGCGGATGTGCTACTCATACGAGTATTTCTGCTAGAACAATCTGTCTGGTTTATAATTAATGTCACTTAACATTTGTAGATTAGCCTTTCATCTAAAAATGTTGAGGAGTCTTGCCAGGCAATGGTTCATCCCCAGGATACTGATTTCAGTGTGAGGTGAGGTGAGTGGCAACTGCAGTTACTGCTAGTTTGTGAGGCTTTTATTTGTGCAGTGTGGGCACACAGGCACCCACCCACATCATGGCCAGGGAGATCAGATCATGCCATCACTTCACCCCTTTAAGGCCTTATGTGGAAAAAAATGTATGTATTTATGGCAAGAGGTAAAACTGGACAAATGCAAATGTTAAGCTGCTTCCCTAATCTCAAAGCCTCTCTCTGGGTTAGTCTACAGGCACCAGAGAAGATGCAGAGCTGACATCTCAGTTAGCTGCTGTCCCCATTCTATGTATTCAATTTCATTACTGAGCTGACTTTTAAGAGGAAATTACCAGCAGCCTGTGTTTTACAAGTTTCATCTTTACCCATCCTCAAGATCAAAAAAACTCAGTAACTTTGCTCTTCTCATGATGTTATAAAGTCTGTTGTCTTTCCCTAGCCTTGTGAATGTGCAAATATTGAAATATTTATAAAATTAATACATAAGGCACATGGTTTATTGTATTGACTCTAATGATTTACCTTTGCAGAACTTCTCCTCATAGGGAATTCCATCTTTTGGATCCACACCCTATTGGAGAAGAGAAAGGGTAGATTAGATAACAGTACCTATCTAGCACCTGAAGAATGTCAGTGCAAAACAGGGGCTGAGAATTTAGTTATTCTTGCATGTTTGCCTGCAGGAGGCACTGCATCATAATAATGAGGCAGTGACATTATTTTAATGAGTATAAGTACATTTAAAATAATCATATAAGCTATAATTTAAATAATCATAAGCATCAATAAACAAACTGAATATCAGCTAATAAAACCAGAATAAATAAAAAAGGAACACTTCTCAACTAAATCAAAGACTAAAGAGGACAAAAGAGAAGCAGCAAATAGGAAGGTACGACTTCATTTACTTACCCATATGCCATTGCAGTTAGAGTCACTTTTTGCATCCCAATTATCAGGACTAAAATGGAGAAACAAAAGGATAAGAAATGACACAAAAAAGAATCGGGAAATCAGATCCCCAGTGCCATTTTCCACCAAAATTGAAAAGGAATTAGAAATTCCTTTCTGCATGGAAGGGTGAGGTTTTTTCCTCTTTGGATCTAGGAGAGGAAATTTTTCCTAACAAAAAGCAAACGCAAAATGCAATATTAATTTAAAGTTAATACTGAAAGTTGCTGAATTAAACTTATCCTTTTAGTCAATGTCATGGTTTCCCTTCCCATCTCTAGTCTGTCTGACCAATTTTAGCTGCAGGTGCTTTAGAGAAAGAAAAGAAATTTACACCGCCCCTGCAAATGAGTCTCATCCTGATCATCCCCTCCCTCACAGCAAAGTCAAGCAACAAGCAGTGATGTGCTAGTCTAAGAGTATGGTCACAACAAAATCTGGAGCCCATTCTTCTCGAAGCCACAGTTAATAAGAAGCCTTTAAGGTAATTAAAATGTTTACCGCCTGCCGGGGTACACGGTTGTGTTTTTGTCGTTGCAGTCTCTGCCTCGCCAGTGATAGCCCCTCAGCGTCTAAAGGCCAGGAGAAACACACACACAGGACAGCCATTATTGCTCTCGCACTTTTAATTTAAAATATCTAAAATGAGAATCTAACTCAAGGTGTAGGAATAAAACTTAGTAAGCAGGTTGTATTCCAGAGTCCCTTTGCTAAGCTTTAATAGTGACACCTAGCATGCTTTAGTGCAGAAATAAGACAAGTTGGCAATTTATTTTTTGTTTAATATGACTTTACTTCACCTCTTATTAATTCAGTAAACAACCACTCAGCAGCAGAGCAATTTGCTTCTGCAGGGAGCACAGCTTTATGTGTGCATTTCCCCAGGTGGCACACATGAATGATTGCTTTTTCATCCAGGAAAAAACTCAACATTTTATGACAAGAAAACCTTCCATTCATTTTATTCCTATTCCTATTTTCACATGAATGGATAAGGCTTTGCAGAAAGTAGGAGGAATCCCAGAGACATCCTCATTATCAAGGGATTACTGTACCAAAGGAAAAGCTTTGCTTACTGGGAAGGTGCTAAATTTATCTCCATCAAAATCTTCAAAAGGCAGTTTATTTCTTAGAACACTGTAAAAAACAAAAACAACCCCCACAGTGTTAACATATGGAAGGGAATCTATTAAGAAAGTAAAAAACACAGTGAAGTGTACAGAACAGATAATAACTGGCATGATATTCACTGCTCTATATTCAGTTGTGCCTCTGTGCTTGTACTTCAGCAAAGTGATCCTGCCCAAAAGAGCAAATTCTGTATTTCAATGTCCACTGACTGAGCTCTGGAGGTGAGGCTGATGGACTCCTGCATGGCTTCAATGTCAAACCTGCAGTCTCTAAAACAAACTAGGACAACAAAACTGTGGTAAAATTTAGGGGGGTTTTGGTTGGTTGGTTTTGTTTTGTTATTTTTTTTTCTTTTTTTTAGTTTACAGAAAAAGGAAAGTAAAAAACCAAATATGGTGAGGGAGACAGAGTGCATGAGGGAGAGTTCAGAAAATCTGAGTTGAATATATGCAATCCAACATATGATATAAAATTTCATTCCCTTCAACGGTCTGACCTCACAGGGCTCAAACTCAGCCTATGTATCCTGACTAATGTTTCAAAAGACACTTGCAAGATTTTTCATGTCAATCAACCCATTCCAAATAAACTCCTGATATTTGCAGTTTCAGTTAAATGAGCAGAAATAAGTGAGCAAGTTAGTCTTGGCAGTTGAATCAGTCAAATATACAGCTGATAATCCTGATTTATTCTTAGACCTGCTCGAGTATTCCACCAAGTCATTGGAGTACATCGACAAATACACTTTACGAGTAATTGCCCAGCTCATGTCCCTGGCCTTTCTTAGAAACTGGCTCAAAGTCAGCACTGTCATGAGTTGTTTTTCCTGGATGCCATCCACCTGACTTTCTTAAACACCTTGGGATTGTTCTATGCTTCATAACTGACATTAAATTTGGGTTCCTCACAGAGTCATGCAGGTGCTGGTGGCCTTCCTGCACTGAGACACGGGCACCACAACTGAGTGAACAAATTAAGTGAAGAAGTTTCTTGGGCTCAGAAAATCTCAGGAGAAGGGTGGCTTCCTGTTGGAGATGTCACATCTGTGAGAGTGTCACATATTTGAGCTCTGGGACATGCTAAAATTGAGCAAATGGTTTAAGCACTAAACCAACCACAAGGATCCCTGTGAAGAATATTACTTACCTGAACTCTGTGCAGGCTCCTTCTGTACTACCTAGACAGTGGTTTTATAAAGGAAACCAACACAAGTAAATATGGGAAGCTTTGTTAGCTAAGGATGACTTTTGGAAGAAGCAAATTTACCATGTTCTGTTTCTGGTTAAAGACTGAAAATGTATACTTACAATTTAATCTTCTCACAGAGGTTAGCCAGAAGAGGAAATGCACACACACTTGAGAACCCCATGAAGCTTTTCTGGAGAGGAAGAAAAATAAAAGTAGATGGATGCATTAATTCACAGGTGGTGTAGCTTGGGATATTCAGTGTCAGTAAATTACAGAGCTAAACCATGTATTTTCTGCCTAGAAACATCCAAAAACTCCAATGATGCCAATAAGGATGCTACATGCCAGAGGATTTAGATCTGACACAGCAGTCAAGGATTAAGGCTGAGCATTTTACAGACCAGCTATTCTTGCTTTCAAAGACGTGTAAACTCAAAAGGGAAAGAAAAAGTTCTGGTCTTCTCTCTGTCTTCTCTTATGTAACCAATTTCTTTTTCATTCTTTGTAAAAATTACTGTTCTCATGTTCCTAAATGTGGTGACACCTGACACAGGGCAAAACTAGTGAAAGCCCACACATGAGTCTGGTTTCTACATGCCAAAGGCCAGGGACAACTCTAAGAAGAGGAGAAATGAGAGGATCCAGACTGTGTATAGACTACCCTTGATTTGTTTAAATGAGATGTTTACCTGGAAATCTAGATTTTTATCTTGGCCAAACCTGTAAGTTGTAAAAGACAGCTGCTGCTAGAAAAACTCCTTCAACATTAGTAGCCCATATCCTTGGGCCAATCCAGTTGATGTTCCAGGTAGCCAGAAAGCTTCAGAAGCTGAAGGCGACCTTCCTAATGAATTGTGTTGCATGGGCAATTAATCCCACAAACACACTGCTGTTGTGGCTTTACTGTAACTTCAGCTGGTCTTGAAACACTGAGGGTGCCCAAGTGTTTCAGCGGGCTCATTCGTGCACAGCCCAGTTCTCTGCATTCACTGAGGCTACATTTACCATGTAAATATGAAGCAGATGAGCAGATGGGCATACTCATAACTTTATGCAAAGAAGGGTAATTGTTTATACAGACACAGCACTTGTAAGCTCTGTCCTTGGACCAGCTGCCTTCTGTTACATATTTTATATACACAGAAAAAAGAAAGAGTAAGATAGTCCTCAACCTAATGATAATTCAACCCATGCCCATCATGAAACAGAAGGTAAAGCTTGGGTGCAGCAGGCTTGGAGTCCAGTGGAAGGTTATTACACACTATGTGGGTCTATAACCCCAATGTATACAGCTCTGAGTGACAAAGGAGAACTTTGAGGCAGCACAGCAAGGCAGTGAGGCCAAGGAGCATAGGGCATTGCCTTGCAGCTCCAGGGAAGGTGTTTGCTTGGACAGGTAACAAGAGGCTATGGAAATATGGGTCTCATGCTGCCCAGAGCAGGAGGTCAGGCACAGAAATACGCCACAGCCAGGATCTCAGGGTGGAGAGGAGAACTGGGCTTGTGGAGAGGAGACAGAGCCCCTAGTACAAAGACTGCAGCCAACATTTATGCTGGTGGCTGAAGTGATCATGCAGCAAGGTGAAGATGAAAAAGAGTGGTACCTTTCTTAGGTACCACTGAAAAGGAGGAGGAGGAGGAGAGATCTGCAGTGGAGCTGGAGCTGTAACCGTGTACTTTCTGAAGAAGGCAAAAGAGAAATCAAGTAGAAAAGAAAAAGGAAGGTCGAGGAGACAAGAAACCTGAAAAAAAGCCACCAATTAACTTTCTTCAATTCTGTCCAACACACTCAAATGACAAAGCTTTAGTCACACCAGCTTGGAGGGGGTTGAGGTGCTGGTGGATTGAAAGGAGAAACTAGAACACAATCACAGAAGAAATGGGGAAAAAATCCAAAAGCAGCCAAGGAAGTTGGGCCTTTCCTTAGGCTGAAAGGCCAACCTGGTCCCACTGCTGCACCTCCAGTTGCCCTGGAGGGTATTGCTGCCTTAGGGCTGTGTCCTGCAGCATGGCTGGGACACAGGCTTCCTTTTAGTTCTGAGTGTATGGTCAGGTGGGGAGTGAGCATGAAATGAGTGGTGCACAGACAGGATGCCAGCTTTTCTCAAAGTGATTTGCAAACTTATGTACACTTCCTGGAAAGAGGAAAGAAATCACTTGCCCCCTCCTTCATTCAGGATTAATCCTGCCAACAGAAGCACCAGAGACTCTTTAAGCCTTCCATCAGGCTAAGATTTGCAGGGTCTTCATCTGAGCTGTCAGCTTTTCACTTCAGCTTAAGCCACGGTATGCAAAGCCTTTGAAGTTAAGGCACCTGGAGTCAAAACTGCACCAGAAAGACAAACTACAGGGCTTGCAAAAAATAAGTACATAAGTAAAACCTCCTTTTATTCTGCTCACAGGCTGTGCTGAAAGTTTACCCTTTGCTGTAAACAGAATAAAATCTTTCCTGTCTTTTTCTCAGCTAGTCTTTTGAAAATTCCTGCTGACTGGCTCTCTGTTGATTTCAAAGGAAGGTTATCCTGCAGTGCCAAAGACTGCTCAGCTTTGGTGGGAGTGGATGCTGATGATAACCTGGCAATGTTGTGGCTGAGGACCAGCTTCAGCAGCATTCCAAAGCCTCCACAGCCTTTGTATTCCCACAGCAGGCGGGACAGTGAGATCTGGAGGCAATACTTTAGCTCTGCTTGGCATTGTGCAGGAGAGCGGCTCATCTGATCTTTGAGGCTGTCTTGGGCTACTCTCAAAAGGCAAGGAATACAGGTATAAAAAAGGAGGGAATCTTTGTGTGAACAGGCACTATTGGGTCCTTCCCAGCAGAGACAGGCCACAGCATGAGTTGTTGACAGAAGATGGGATACATGCCCCTGTGTAACATGGGTGAGTGGGCAGGAGATCAGCTTATGTCCTTCTCTGCCTGTCAGCTCGCTTTGGGCTCCCTCCATGGCTTCCCACTTGTCCCACTGCCAGGCTGTGACATGCAGGGACCTCGCAGTCATGACAGACTGTACAAAGGGTGCCTGCTCTCCTGAAATGCCACAACTCTAATCACCATTCTTTCATTGCTATTGCTCAAAGATGCCCCTTAGTATCTTCTCCACCCACAAGAAGAGTTAATGCTAGAGGTGCTCACAGTGATTGATTACACTAATATCCTATTCATTGCCTGTTAACATTCCCTAATGACATTTCTGTAATTATTTTAATTGGTTTTACTAAAAAGAATAACAATGAGCCCCTAATGCTTGTTGGTGTTTGGTTTAAGCCAGTGCCTTACAGATAGCTCACTCCTTTTAATGAATCTAGACATTTATTTAAATTTTTTGGTGTTTAGCTGCTTTCACTGCATCTCTACATCTGCTGATTACCTTTTCTTTTTTCCAAACTCATAATGATCCTAAGAAATTCCAAGTAAATGTGAAATCCTGGGATCCAGATGGATTTCCTGTTCTCATTACAACAGCCATCATCACATCTCTTTTTTTGTGCGCAGTCACACACAGCTGCCATGCCAAGATGGGGACAGTTAACTTGCAAAAATTTCTTCAGAAGGCTTTCCCCAAACATACAATGAAGCAAAAGCAACAAAAAGAGCAGATATGGGAAGAATTAACAGATCTAATTTGACTTTTTTGGTCTAACATGAGCCAGAGCATAAAAGAGTCCAGATGAATGTCTTTCTTTCTTCACTGATGTTTATGCAGGGATGTCCTACCACAGCTGGGATGTTTCTGGTTCCTCACCCACACACTCAGCCAGGTAATCTTCTCCCCAGGCAGTGAGAGCTCCTCAGCTCTCACTAAGGTGTATCTGCCTGTGCAGGTAGGATCATGATTTGGGAGCCTTGAGACTGTGCAGGTGGTTTTCTTACTCTTTCATCACCTGCTGCTGCTCTGGGATACATGGCTTATGTAAGCATGATTCATTCACACTGTGCTCCCTCCTAGAGATTCTCTTTTGTGTTTCTTACTGCATTGTTTTTCTGGATCTGAAAATAACTTCAGTCTGGATGAACGGGAAATTGCAAGCTGAAGTAATGCCCCTAGAAATGTTATTTTCTATTTTCCAGGTTGAAAATAAGTTTCAGCCAGGGCCATTACAGGAAAACCTCCAGGAATAACTGCAGGTGAGGCCCCAGCAAGCATATGATATGTGTTTTAATTTGAGCTGACCTTGCATTGTGCAGGAGGTTTGGAAATACATTGATACCCAAATGTGACCTTTCTGCTTGCAGTCTGTTTGTCCTTCTCACTGGCAAATGGGCAGCTAGGAGCAGAAAGGGGCCAAGGGCCAATGGAGATTGAGAGAGGTATCGGGGCATTGAGCAGTTTTGAGGATATGTGAGAGTAAAGGCAAAATAGAAGTGCCTATTGCACCCAAAGATTGGTGCTAACCATGCCACCCTGCCCAGGACAGTCTGAAAGGATGTGGCATGCCCATCCCAAGAAAGTGGGATGTGGCTGGCCATGTGAGGGACTCAGCCCAATATGCCAAGGGTACAGCACATGCAAGGAAGCACAGGAATTGTGTCCCACAGGGCAGCACTGCCCCGCCGGTCCCTCTCCAGCCCCGTGCCAGCTCAGAGAGGATGCTCTGCTTGACTCAGAGCATCTTGTTACAGGTGTTAACCTGGGGACTTGCTCCAGGGAGAGAAGAATAAAAATTTCATGCAATTTGAGCAGAAATTTCAGGCCATCAGTAGCACAGCACTGAAAAGGAAGGGAAATGAGTAAGAGATCCTGCTGGTTGCTGTTCTGTGGGAGCTGAGGCCGGTCTCTCCAGTGCTTTGTTTATTTCCCTGGCTTGGTAATTTGGCAACTGCCCAAAGGCTAATTAGGCACCTCAATTTTCACTTTTGTGACTAGCATCACAGTAAGGATTCAGGAATAAGCAATATAAATAATTTCTTCACAAACACTTAAAGCATTTCCTCTGCATTAAATGACTTAACTGGAAGCAAATTCAAGGGCTGAACTGACTCACCTAAGTGAACCTAGCAGAATAACAGCTGCTACTCTTCTCTGCTACCCTTTAGAGATCCTCTACAAATCTGAGAACTGTTGGAGGCAGAAAGATTTCATATCCTATTTTTCAAATTTTAGAGGCAAAGGCAGCAACTCATCAATACAGGAAAAATATGCAGAATTTGCATTCAGTCCATTGCTTGGGCTTCAGACAGTCCCAAAGCACAGTTGCTCTGCTCTGAGGCAAGGGGTCAGTTCATGAGGCACCCTATTACACACAGCTGCAAGGTAGCTGCATATTACATTATTTTTTTATGCTCTCCCCATCCTCTCATGTTTTTCCTTTATTTCTCCCTCTCTTTCTTTCAGGGTCACCTGATAGAGCAGATCCTGTATCAAGTAGGAGTGAGTCAGCATCCAATTCAATGCCAATCAGGAGGATTCACAGACAAAACAAACAAGGACTCACTCCTGATAAAATGCCAGTACAGAGTAAAACACCTTAATGCCATCGATTTCTTACCAAGTCCTTGGAAGTTTTCATAATTCTTTTTGCTTTTCTTATTGCAACACTCAGTCCCACCTAAGAGAGCAAGAACAAAATTAAAAACAACCACATCAGCCTCACAGTATCCTACCAACTTTCCCCCCCATTTCCTACCACTTTTTTCTATTTTAATATCAGTCACAGCACAGAAATGATGTATGAGTCCACAAACTCCTCATCAGTTACTTTTTATTGGACTAACAATCAATTATCCAGTCACCTTCTATGAAACTCCAGTAGCAAGAGTTCATTTATTTTGCTCCAGGGCATCATTTATTTCCCAAGGAAAAGTCCAGATCAGCTGAAGAGCTGAAATTCATATCCTGACTGCACTGCGTGAGCTGCAGAGGACATACTTCTCTAGCAACCCCTCCTGAAGGAAAACTCATCCATTAAAAGGCTAAAAGAGCGTTACTCATGTAACATCAGTCTGACTTGCTGTGGGAGGGTACAGAGGAAACATTTGCTCCTGCATGGATAAGGGCTATACTCAGCTGAGGTTCATCCCGGCAGGGGAACATGGAGTGCAGGAAGGTACAAAGCAGGGAACAGAGTTTGGAAGGAAAATCCCCTGCTTAGGATCCAGGAAGGTGAGCTTTTTATTCTGGAAATACCTGCCCTCCCTGGAGAGCAAGTTCTTGCTGACAGTGGCAAGATAGTTTTTCTGGTGGGTCTATGGCAACTTGTGCTGAAGAGGCATTTTGGGATACCCCCACATTGTGGGTACTTATACCTACATAGAAAGAAAGAGCAGGAGAACCATTCCAAGAAAAGGTCTTGGAGAGGCATCAGATTAGCCATCATAAGGCCATGGGTTACAAATAAGTGAGCTATTAGTGATACACAAATAAATCCTGAAATCCCTTTCCACACAAGCTCTTTGGAAGAGCAGAGGAAATTTTGTGCAAGGGGCGCCATCCATGAGTGTGAGTGAGAGCCAGGACAGCTCTGCTGGCAGCAGAAGGACACAAGTGCCATGTCTGGTACAGCAAGGTAAAATGCACCCTGATGGCTGCTTGCCATGGCCAGGAACTGCCAAAACACTGCCTTTGTCCTGCTCTCCAAGCTTTCCTCAAGGCTCTGCCATTGCAAAAATCTCAACAAATACATCTTTGCACCCCGTGTGGTCCACAGCCCTGGGTGCTGCCTGCAGAATTGTTGAGGCATAGGCAATAAGTAGCTGCTGTTTCTGCACTGTGCCATTAAATGTTGACCTGGCCTTAAGAAATTTGTCTTGTATCACAGCACAGAAAGATCACACTGCTTCTCCTGCCACAAGGACTCTTACTAGTCATGGAGGTGAGGGGATGCTCATGCCATCCAAAATATTTAACAACTGTTTAACAACTCTGATGAACAGCACTTTCTAAATTTAGACAAATCTTTCCATAGAAAAGAAAGTTCTCACAACTCCAATTTAGGGAAAAAAAAAAAAAAAGATAAGAGACTGTCAGAAGAGTCTGGTAGGGTAAGGTAACACCAGTGTGCTCCCCCCTGCTGCTCCATTTTCAATTCAGGACAGTATTCTTTTATCTCAGTGATGACAATTCCCACATTTTGTGCTGCATTTATTAGGCCACCTTTGAAAACAGCCATATCTGTGAGATATATGTGACATAACTAAGTGATGGCCTCTGTCCTCCTCCTCCTCAGCATTCAGCATGATGAAGGCTGAAAGCACTGCCTGTTTGCTGTCTTTCAGCAGGAATAATTACTAATGTACTGCAGGCTTTGAGAATTGGCAAAAAACCCCTCCAACCTTAAAATAAAGAAGGAGATAAAAATCACTTATTTTTGAAAAGGTTTCAAATGGAAAAAAAATCCAGAATATCACAAACACATTAACACCTGGTTTCTGCTCAAAACTGTTAGTGGGGAGAAACTGTTCTGTCTGAAAATGACTTGCTATCAGTCCCTCCTACAGCCCAGCCTAAGGACATTACTGCAAGCTAAAATCAACTGGGTCTGAGGGCTCTGAGGTAAAGTCAGCACAAGTTTATATTCATCTGGACAGAGCTACAGGAACTCAGCAAGGGAGAAAATAGGGATGCTTCAGCAAATGCTGTTATTACAGCATTTGGAAAAAAAAGAAAATGTCCCTCATGTGATGGCACCTTACTGAACAGCACCATGCCAGATTAGAATATTAAAGCAGACTTAATTTGTATTTAAAGTAATCATTGCCAGCATTTTTGTGCTGGGGATAAAATTTAGCATGTCATTATAATTGATTTAGGCAGTGATCAAAGCAAATTAATTAACCGTGATATTCAAGGGTCAAAAATTTATGGTGAACAACACAAAGGGATACGGACGAATAAGCATAAGCAGCAAGGAACATAGACTTCTAAGCTGCTGGGTTTTAATATATGTGTCACATTAATATATGTAGTTAATATATGTTTAATTCATGGTGTCTATAGTCTTCTAAAAATCAGGGTATGTCACCAATAGATGAGAGAAGTTAGCAATGAGCCAAGACATTGTTTTCTAGTTTTCTTCCCCTGGGCAAATGCTGTCCCCAAAACCAATCATGCATCTTACATTTGCCATAGTTATGTTGTACAATACCAGCTGCTGTCATTTCTGCAATAAAATTACTTGAGAGGCAGATGTGAAAAATGGCTTGAAATTGAGTATAATAGTAGGAAAATTCCCAGAGATGTAGGACTTATCAATCCTTTTCTGCTGGGCAGGGTAGGAGAGACCTTTCTTGCTCACAGCAGCAGCACATGAGAAATGCGTGCTACAGAAAGCTACAGCAATATTGCACTCAGAAAGCAGAAAACAAGGGAGGAAAAGGTTGGAATGACCTTGTGTGTAGAAAATGCTCTCCCTGAAGCACTAAAGTTGACACGTTCTCTCACTTCACAAGTTCCTTCAGCCAAGACTCCAGGTTGGACTGTGGAAGACTGGCAGCTGAAACACCCACTGGGAAGAAAATGCTCCTGGTTTTACAGCTCACCTGTAATCCCTGGCTGACACCAGCATGCAAAGTCTGCCACTGAAGGCCATACCACCTGTACAACCTCCCCTGCTGCACCTTGGCCAGCAAGGAGCCTCCTCTCTTTCCCATGGTGTGAGAGCACCACCAAGGACGGGGTTTCCTTGGCTTCAGCAGCTGATGGATGAGTCCTGGGGAGCAGCCAGCACCATCCACCCCAACTGCAGCAGCCCTGCCACCCTGTGTGCACAAGATATCCAGCCATGGATGGGACCAAGGGCAGGGTGTCACTGGGATTTAATTCACTGCCTTCTTCCAGTGTTCTCCACAGAGACCACGCGTTCCCAGTAATGATTTCTTTTTTGGCAAACAGATGTATTTCTCATCTTAAACAAATGCACAAACCAGCTCTAATTCTCTCTCATTTATCATCCTTGTTAGCCAGCTTTCTCCCAGGAGACGAGATATTTACAAAACACTCCAAGTTTCCCTTCTAACTAATTTTCATCATCCTTTAACCAAGACTAGCAAGATAGCAAAATTCTGCAAAGCTTGTCAAATAGCACAGCTAGATTTGTTCATGAGCAACGCTTCCTTGTTCTCACACTTTTGTCTGCCACCTTCCCACCCCAAATATCTCTGTGCCCGCTTGTTTTCTAGGGTCCTGAGCTTCTACATTGGCATGGCACAGCTGCATGCACCACCTTGCAAACCCCATGCCACTCTACTTCCTTTGGATTTACTTGGTGGAATGTTGGGATTGTATGATTTGGCTTTTTGGGGTTGTTTGAGTTTTCAGTTGGGGTAGGGTTTATTTTATTTTCTCCCAGTGAGGAGGAGCAGAGGAAATGAAGAGAAACAAGTGAAAGAGCAGGAACTAGCACTCAAACTGTGCCTTCTGCTATTACCTATCTATAGGTAGTTTCTTCAAGGCTCAGTTCTGGCTGCAGGAGAAACTCACATTTCAGTGGATTTTACCAGTTTCCAAGAACAAAGGCTAAAAGGAAGGCATCTGGCTCCACAGGACCTAGCCTACCTCCCAGATGCTGTTTGTTTTACTGCTTATGGTCTCAAAAGAAGGAAACAGGTCCCAGTCACGAGGTTTACTTTGGACTGGCAGCCTGCTCTTAATCAGGAATGCAGAAGCACTCCCACTCTGGAGTTTGGTTCTGTCTCACCTCCAAGGAAGATCACATTTTTACTGGGAAAGATAAATGAGAGATAGCAGCAGAAGTATTTTCATTTTACTAAACCCCAAAGGGTTTCTTTTTCTACCCAGAATTAGTTGGCTCCTACTTTGCCAAACAGCATGCTGACCACAGTAATACCCACGAGGGATGTGGCTTTGTAGAAAGTCAGTGCAAGACCTGATAGAGGGTACACAAACCAGTCTGAGTGCTTGTGGCAGTGATGCTTATTCTGGCAAGATAAAATTATAAGAGCATAAATATGTATATTTTTGCTGATGAAAAAGGACATCCACCAAAATCCTATTGATGGAGTTTAAGACAAAATATGCAGCCAAAAGGTCTCTGAAAATGTGGAGCATAAAAGTGATGGGAAACAGAAGAGGCACCCTGAAAGGCAGAAAGATGGAGTACAAACTTTCAACACAGACTGTTTTAGTGATTGCTAGAGCACGACCACAGTGCTGAAGTCGAGCCATTATTCTGGCCCCAGCAAATCAGTTACAGAATTGTCATTTAACCAAACAGGCCAGCTGGCTTAAAACAATCTAGAGACAAGCTGAGAATAATCTCCTGCAAACCTGTTTGTTCCCAGGGCCAGAAAGGAATCTTGGTAGGCACTACGTAAAATTCTTCACCCTATTTCAGGCTTTTTCATTCACTAGAGGAACATCCCTGTATTACACAAACTACTGCAGAAAGTCCTCCAGCACATGAGGTGATAAACATTTTTGGCTAAAACATTATCCAGTCATCCTAAACCAGCTATCTTGGATGCTTGTACTATTGTCAGTCTTTCACAGTGGTGCTGCAGCCCATCTTAGGATATCTGTTGTTGATGTGGATTAAACTACAAAGTGCATTACAAAAAACTACAAAGCATTTTACTGCAGCTTCAGACACTGTCCATTTTTCAGCCAGTTTTAGCCACCTTCACTTCTGATGAGCCCCATTAGTTTGTCTCTTTACTTGAAGGAGATCCCAGTGTTGCCACCCTCATACAAAAGGGCAGAGGAGAACTTTTGGTGGCAAGAAGGGGCTCACAGGACCCATTAAAAGGGACACCTGGTTGCACGGTCATGCTGGTGATCCAGGAGCTGTAAGGGCCCCTTCCAATCTTCCCCACCAGCATCAGAGATCTGCTCCTGAAACTGCTTCCCAGGAGAGCAGCCCACCTTGCCCAAGCCCCAGCAACAGGGGGCTGCCCTTGCCCAGGCTGAATGCCCTTCTCCTCCAGTTCCCTGCTGAGAACACTGAGCTCCATGCAGACAGAGTAATGTTTTTTATTCATAATTAGAGCAAAGTCTTCCAGAATAATCACAGAGTGCTAATAGCTCCAGGCAGCTTGGCAAAAAAAATATAATAATTTGGGCTAATTTGTCAGAGACCAGGGAAGTATGTAGAATGATGCACGTATCATTTACACAGATTGCAGTGTCTCCCTTATGTAGACAGTTTGAAAGGCCTCTGAAGCAGGGGCTCTTCCTTCCTCAAAACACAAAGCCTCACTAAAGCAACACTGCAGAAACAGAAGAAAATAAACTAATGATGGAAAAAGCATGTTGATATTTTCCACTTTCCAAATTTTTATTTAGAGGTAATTAAAGCCTGAGCATTATGCTGCCATCCAAGGACAGGCAATGCTACTTCTTTCATTCCCTTTGCCAGTACAAATATGATACTAATTCTGGGAAAATGGGCATCCAAAAGTCTAAATGAATAAGTGAAGTACCTGAAAATCAATAGAGTTGAACAGAACAGTCATTAGTATTAAAGTCTTGTTCAAACACTCGGCAGGGGACTGCGCCAACATTTGCAGACTCATAAAACTGAAGTGATCAATCAAATTACAAACTAAAGAAGCAAATGTGAGGCAAACTGCATTTTATGCACCTGTGTCTCTGATTCTATATTAATTTTTTTCACCCATAATTCATCTTTACTCAGTCTGACTAGTCACAGAGTTACTGTGGGCAATTTATCAACCACTTGAGCATGAATTCCAAGCATGCTCTTGCTCTTCTCCTCCCATCTCCTCATGCTCTCTCAGGGCACAAGGAGAGGCAAAAGGAAGAGCACAGTCAGTGTAAAATAATTGGTTTTGTGGTAGAGTCCCCTTATTCCTGTTGAGAAACAAATACCTTGGCAGAAAGGGATTTAACTACCACTTGGAAGGGAAGAGGGTTTGCTTGAGCTGCTTACTCAGAGGGACAGTCTCCAGCCCATGCAAAAAAGAGTCCCAATTTTGTTTAAAAAAATAAACCAAAGCTCCACCACATTCAGCTGTTTTCCTCATGGACAGTGCACTCACTGAAGTGGTTGCTGGAGGTGGAAGGAGACAACACCGTGGTCCTACCCCTGTTCTGAGAGCTGGGTAAGAGCTCACAAAGATGTGACATCAACCCCATGAGTGGCATCCTTTCCCCTCTGTATGATCAGCCTAGCATTTTAACACAGGTGTTTTAATTTCTTCACAGGAGCCCCTTTGATTTATACAGCCATCTCGCCATAGCCGAACTCACTGTGCAGCCATGGTGAGCCCATCCCTCTCTTTCAGTGCAGTTCATTGCCTGCATCCTCTTTCACTTCAAGAGGCACCTTGCACTTCTGACCCTCAGCTCAGGATGGGGGATTTCTCATGGCACCTGCTTGATGAAGTTTGGGCAATATTCTGGTTGGGTTGAGTTAGTGTGGGCCATCTCTGCTGTTTGCACTCATCTTCTTTCACCTCTGTGTGTAGCACATCCATAGATCTCTATGTAGATATATTGTGGAGCATAGACTCACACCTGCTATAAACCAAATATTACTCTCATTCTTGAAAGGTAAGTGTTTCCCCAGACCTTAATATTGGCAGAACTAAATCCATCTTGGAGGTGAACCGCAGATCATTGAAGCCCATAAAAAGATTGCTTGATTTCAGGGACTGCTGGACTAGACCCTGTGTGAAACACCTCATGCAGTTAGAAACTCAACCAGATGAAGGGAAAAAGATTTCCAAAAATAGGTGCTGAAATGAATGGCTTGCTTTTCAGCACCACCAAACAACCCTCATCACTCACAGGTTTGAGTGTGACTGGAGGAGTGTGATGGCTGGGATGGAAAAAATTACTCACAACCAAAAAAATCCCAAAACAAACAGCACATGTTTAGACACCTATGCAGACATGTACATGTGCAAGTATAGCAAAGATCTGGGACATGCAATCAAGGATGTGCAAATGTTGTAGCAAGTAACTGTACATCAAAGAAGTGATGGTAATTAAATATGATTTCAGCCTGTGGGGAAAAGATAATGCGCATTAGCCTAAACCTCCTGCACTGCAGACTAATCCAAGTCAAACTGCCCTGCATTTACAGCAGGTAACTTGTGCCCACCCAGGCTGTCCTGGCAGATCAGGCAATGTGGGGATCACTTGTTGTGCTGTGGTAATGTGGTGACACAGATGAACCTCAACTGAGTATATGCTTTGGGTTATTGTATTGCTTAACAATAAAGTCCCTACTCTTCCTCCCTGATCCAGACTGGTACAGGAGAATTTGGCCCTGTGACTGCCACACACCCGCAACCCAGTGGATGATGGTCCACCCAGCTAATGTGTGTTATGCACTTTTGTTCAAACAGATGTTTTTTAGAAATGTCCATGCTCTAAATGTTTATTTCCTAGACAATGCATGTGCAGTGGAAGCCTTCAAACTGCTCAATTCCAGCTTAAAACACATCCCACAATCAGTAGTTTTAAGAAAAGTTGGAAACAACTCACCTTTGGAGGAGAGTAGAGATGACAAAGTGGTTGTCCTGGATCCTGTTTACACAGCCTCAAGGAATGGCAAACCACATCAGCATTCATTTCCTTGTCTATGCTAAATGAAATGGTGCATAAACAAAGACTATTATGTTTTTCTGGGCTCTTGAAAGTGGAAGCTATTTCCACGGGAAGCTAAATCTTCCCAACACACCACACAATAATCTCAGCTCACTTCACCGTGGCCCATAACCGCTGCTCAGTACAGTGCTGGGTTCTAATGATTTTCTGCCACGACATCCTACTCAGCATTTAAAACTGGAATCCAGGATGATGGAAAAGGACTGTGCTCTACATGCAGCACCTGAATCAAATGCATTATAACTATTCTAGTTTTTTAATCAATCATAAGCCTGACAAAGATTTAAAGGTTAAAGTTAATGCATATGCAATTTGGCACATATGAAAGTTCAATCATTACTCAACAACATAACCAGAAATCCTCCAAAGATCCTTAACCTTTAATCACCAAGCACGAGTGCTAGGACTGTTTCTTCCTTTTTGGGACACACCTCTGGGCTAATTAGGAATTAAATTAAAATATTTGATTACAGCATTTCTTAGTCCTGTAAGCACTTTGCAGTCCCTTGGTTAGTTTTAAAAACAAAAATAAAAGCCCTAGGGAAGAAGAAAGTCTAGTAAAAGCTCTGTTAATTAAACTAAGAACTTTCAAAGAGGAATAAAATGACCTACATTTTATTTTTTTAATCACTTAGATTAAATAGTAGGCTTCCCCAAGAGTGCATATCAAGGTCGGGGCTGAGAGCATGTAGGGGCTGACAATTAGAAAGCCTGATTAAAGGTAGAATGGAAAGCAAGAGCCAGGCAACAACTGTGTGATTTTATAGAACCTGTCTCACACACATGGGTTATTCAAATTCCTCCCTCAGCCAAATGAGCTGAATTTCAAAAGATAATTATGTCAGGTGGGCCTGATCTGAGATTTAAATGGAATATCAAAATGGTTACCAGTGGCAGCCTGTGTTTATTCACTCAGGAATAGCTGTGCCAAATGCCAAACCAGAATCACTGTGAAGCATCTCTGCTTTAAAAATAATGTGAATTTAGGGGTGAAATCCCTCCACTTCAACCTGACAGCACATCTGTACATGTCAAGAACAAACTAAGTAAAAATCTAAGAGGACACAGCAATACTTACAGTTCAGCTATGTGTGGTCCATAAAGTTCAGCAAGCACATAACAGAAACCTTGCAGTTTTTCTAGAAAACACAATTTAAAGGGTTTTTTTTAAAGTAATTGAACATGGTAAAACTGGTTTTGTAGCAGTCAAAATACAGAAACAGTTGGTTCATTGAGGTGAATGCTGGTTTACCTTAGGGGAAGGCATGTGAATCTCTGACCTCAGTGTAGCAACAGAGAATGGGAAAATCTGCATTTCTAATCTTACCTAAAATCCTTCTAGCTTTAGGTAAGTTGCATGATAAAGACTAAAAAGGATAACTAGCTTTTGGTAATTTTTCTGAGCATGGCATAATGGAAAAGTCAAAAGAAATTGTGCATGCCACAGCATCTTCTAAGCACTTTAAACAAACATCTCAGTAGGTTTGGAAGAAGAAGGAAAACAAACACATAAATCAAAGTGCAGAAAGTGATATTGGGCTTGATGCTACTCCTAGAACTGCCTTGGAGCTTCTGGGGGCTTGTGGAGTTAAGAGAATATGTTTTGTGTCGAGCAGGAGTTGTGCAGGAGTAATTGCATTCAAAGAAATACCTGACACTTCTCATTTGGCTTCCTTTCACAGTCTACAGCCATGTGCCTTTCTGGGAGGCTGGCTCAGGTGGTTTCCTTAATATGTGTGAAGCATGTCATTGATAAGACGGCTCATCAGAGATTCCTTTAAGGTACTGTTGTAAAATAACAGGTGATCCATGGATCTGGGCAAAGACACTGAGGGAGAGTGAGGGTTTGAATACAAGCAGGGCAATGATCTGACAGCCCCACGAAGGAAAACTGCCTGTTTCTTGGCCTGAACAGATTAGAGCTGGTTAACCATGCACATATCCTGCAAAGGAGGTGCCAGGCTTGCTCCAGCTGGGGTGGTGCTGTGAAATGTCATAAGAGACAGGTTCACACAAGTGCTGTGACAACAAACTTGCAGCTCCTCAAACTCCTCAGAGCTTTCTCTTGCACCTCCATTACCCAGACAGATAACTATCTGTACCTGGAGAAGAAAGCACAGAGTATTCTCATCTTTCACTGAGAAAAGCCACAGAAACACCCAAAGCAGTCACTTCACCCCCGACTTTGGGCTGAATATTCAATTTAACCAGTGCCAGGCTGGTCATGCCCAGGGCTGGGGGGCTGCTGCATACAGGGTGGGAAGTTCTGCTGTGTGGAGGGTACAAATCCTTGTGGCAGGGACAAGAGTCCTGCAGTCCTCTCCTGCCAGGACTGCAGCCACCCCAGCTGCCAACCTGCACCTGAGAAAGGAGGCACGGCACCAGGAAATCATAGCAGGGAATTAAGAGATTAATTTTTCCAACACCCTCCTACTCAGGGTGTTGCAGGCAGCTCCTGTAAATACAGTAGCTGATTTCTCTTATTCCATGACAGGTGTTTTATTTCAATCAAGTTATTAGCTTCATTTCTTTGCCTCCTTTGCCGCATAACTCCTCACTATTGGCTCTTTAGAAGCAATCTGCAAGTAAAAATTGGTCTCCTGACTAGAATTAGATTTTATTCTTGTTCACCTAAAATGAAAGACATTGCAGACATCAATAACCCTGTGTTTGGCATCACTGCTGATTAGAACACTCTCTGATGAGGCTTGCCAGTGGGGTACCTGGCTCCCTAAGGTAGCCTGCAGGCAAACGTGGCTGGCTTCCCCAATACCTCCCCAGTGCATCACAGGTGATGGTCTCCTTATGAATTTGCCAAACCAGCTGGTTTCCACAACATTTTTGGCTCTGGAGGAGCCAGCTGGCTGCTGTAACCTCTCCTGGTGTCTGAGAAGAGAGCAGAGTTTGGCTGCCTATCAGCTCTGGGGAGCTGATATAGGCTTTGCTGGTCACACTGATTTCCTTAATGCATATAGGAAACTTAACCTGTAATTACCCCACGGTATAAAAAATGATGAAGGTAAAAGGAATAGCAATAATGTTAAATTATTGTTGAGCACATGAAGTCTTCTTGGAAGATTCAGATGCCATTCAGGCTTTGGCTTTCAATAAAAAACCAAGACCAAAGCCACAGATAGCATTTACAGGACTTGCCATTGGAGCCAGCCTGCAATCATGTGTTCACAAATCTCCAGCTCTGCTAACACACACAAGGCGAGGATATTGCAGAGAGAAATCTCTGTTAGGAAGAAGCAGTGTAAGTCAGAAAAGAGGGGGAGAGAAAGAGAAAAATTATGAATAACTGTGGGTGTTCAGGGGCAAAAAAAGAGCTTAAACAAAACTAAATGCTGGAAAATTCAGAGAAAAATGTAGAGTATACTTGCTTCAGATAAAAGAGATCCCCTAAGAACAGTCCAGAAGGTTTTTCTATATAGCTTCATAGTCCTAGAAACACAAATGCTGGCTGAGTCCCAGAGAACAAATATTTGCAAAAAGGATGCTATTATCACATTGCCATTTGCACTTGAGCTCTAAGGTGTTTGCACAGCCGTGGTCAACACAGTAGCAGAGCATGACTCAGAGGCAAAGCTGGAGGCAGAGGGTCTCAAAGCACATTTCAGGTATCAGCCACCTCTGTGTCATCAAGCAGACAGTCAGTATCCAGGTAAACATATATATTTGCTAACAACACCTCTTACACTGTAAATACTGCCCCTTCCCCCAGACCTGGCCTATCTGCTCAAGAGCCTTCTTCACTCATGACTTTACTGTTCCTATTGTCACGGGTCTATTTGCCATGTCGCTTGAATCACACACATTGCAAGCATTTCCATACAAATGAGGCTGTGCTTCTGTTTTCTACACAGCCCGTGAGATTGAGTGGGACTGACAGGTACTGAAATTTTCTCTCTTTTTCTCTGAGCATTTTTTGTTCTCCAACATCACATAACTTTACAGAAGGCTTGATCCAAACCTGACTCAATTGTAATCAGAATTATAGGAGGCCCTCAAAAAACCCACTTTCTAAGGTTTCTACGCCTTAGGAAAAGCCTTGCTGCCATTAATTTGTTGCTGTTATTCTTGTTATGGATTGTAGGCATGTGCATAATAATGAAATTGTCTCTGTGTGAAATGCATGACCTGCTTTAGTAGGTTTGCTCCTCACCAGCATCCAAAGCTTTTCTGCTGTTTCAAGCAGCAAGAGGAAACTGTTGATTCCTGCTGGGCTGCAGCGTTCACCTCCCAGGAGAGGATAAATTGGGTTACACTGTAGCTCCCACACAATCCATAGGATTTTTCACTTCTTTCAAGTTCAGGGTCAGGTTTTTTTTCTACTGGGTATATCCATGCATCTCAGAAGGTAACCGGATTATACAGATTCAACTAAAGGGATAATAGGATTTTATGTGTGTAAAGAATGGCAGCTGAAAAGAAATATCTTGACATGTCAGAAGAACAAGGTCCACTGAGTGAATCATGAGCACAGAGCTAGCATGTCATAATTTAAAGAAGAAAATTGTGTTTTAATAGCAGGATCAGTGCTTCTAATTGCAACTTCATGGTTATGTGCCTGTAATTTACACTGAGGATATGACTTATGGAATAGAAATCAGATAAGCGTCATTCTATCGATGAATGAATCCTAGCAATTAGCTCCCTGCCCCATTCTGCCTTGGGAAATCCTTCCTTGGAAAGGAGGGAATTAATATTCTACACATATCCTCTGTGAAACTGGGGTCTACAGAGCGAGATGGTTTCTCAGAGACACAATTCATGAAATCATATAAAAATGACATTTTAATGAAGAATCCTAAGCCATCTTTTTACATTAATAACATTAAAAAGATATCATGAATGTGAGATCTAGCTACTTAAATAGTTATAGGATTGGTGTATGAGGCCCAGAGCTATTCTGGCATTCAAACTGTTCTCTATTTAGGGGTGTGCCTGTGGAGCTCCAGCCTCCTTTGGGTAGATAAAATAAGGGGCAGAAAAAGGGAACTCTTACATATATTCACATGGAATAGATATCGCTTTTGAAATTTGTATCACAAATTACATGGCAGTAGCTTTTCTGTGCACATCAAATGCTCACATCTTACACCTGTCAGCCTCATCTCATTTTTAAAATTTTACAATAGCAGTTCCCATACCCACTGAAAACATTTTAATCTTCACTGTTGCTACAAAGACCTGTATCAACAAGCAGGAGGAGTGGTGGGGCACACATTGAATCTATTATTAAGCTGCTAACAAAGAGACTAAGGGGAAAAAAAGGAAGGGAACTGGTCAGCATGTGTTGGTGCTCACGTGTGTGTGTGTGTGGTTTAATATAGCCCTGTTCACTCTAACTTTTGGGACAAAACCCCAGCTCTGAATCCAAGTGAAGCCATGTCCTGACTTCCCCGTAAATGGCAACTTGCCGTCTCCCAGCTGCACACATTTGAGGTACTGCACAAGAGGTGGATAAAGTTTTTTCAGACTTCCCATGCAAGTCTTTAATTAACAGGGAAATACATCAGCACCAGCACGACATATGGTGCATTATTTGGTACTTACCAGGTATGTAGTCACACAGCCTCTCCACAGCTGCCTTCACTGTACTGTTGTGCCACTGTGCAAGCTGTTCGATGACAGACACCACGAGCACACATCCTTCAAGAAAACAAAGAACCAAAAAGAGGGAATACCATTATTGGTGAAACGTTGTGAAGCTCCCTGCACCACAGAAGTGTTTCTGGCATCTTTGGGCATTTCATTTCTTGAGATGCTCCGTGGCAGTGTTCAAGGGGAAAAAATATAAGTGGATTCCTGCCTTCATTCAAACCCTGTAAGTTATTAGAGAGAGGATGCTGATTCCAGAGGAGAACACAGAACAGCCTGGCTTTTACAGCACTGTATGGTGCTCCTGGAAAAATGACTCCATTCTTTCAAGGTTGAAAATTGAGGAGTCAAAGGGATAGCCATTGTAACAACTGCCTGCTTGATCACCAGCTCTCTCATTTTATCTCACAAGAAAAAAGGTATAGGTCTGTACTTAATAGGACTTTTATACCTCTCCACACAAGCAGCACAGAGAGGTACAAAAACCGGAAACCAAATGTTTGTGACTGTCGATAGAAGAGAAGTCACGCCACAGACGTATGTGCTGGCCATGACACAGCATCCATGGCATCATTTCTTCACAAACTTGCTGGTGAAGCCCAGTGATGCTCAGCACGCACAGGGCTGCTGAGCCCAGCTACACATTTGTTAAAACCAAAATGACTTCACAGTTCATTCTGCTCTGCCTCTGCGGCTGGAAAGAAACCACTTCCTATGAGCTATGAATCTGGTTATTTCTCATCACTAATCTGGGTGTGAACAGAGCTAGCAAAGTGTTTCTTGAGATGTGCAGCACTTTTCCCCCTGCTGCTTTGGGGGTTAAATAGATTCAATTAAATAGATCCCCATGGAACAGTCATTCAAAATCCACATGATGAGCATTCATTTCAAGTCAATTTTAAATTGCTGCAGGTCAGCATTGTGCTTTCTCTGCAGTGGCTTCACCATTTTTTGAGGAACACAGCTTTGGCGATGCCAAGTCTGCCCACTGTAGTCAGACCTGCGATAGCCCTGCCTAGACTCAGAGCCTGTGCAAGAGAGGCAGCTATGCCAGGCCAAGAGGAGACAAGGAGCCAGGGTGCCAGGTTCCAGCAGCCTGAGTAAAGTTTTCTCTTTGAAATCCCTGTAAAAGAATCCTGTTTCCTCTCCTGGGCAAGCAATCTCATCTCTGACACTTGCTCTATCAGGGCCTAGAAATGGAATTGAGCTGCAGCAATCTGATGGGGCTGCTGACTCACCTTTTTTAAAGCTCAAGAACATGAATGTTCGGGTTTTCAGACTGGCACAACTCTTCAAAGTGAGCTTCTCAATTACTTCCAAGCACCTCTGCCAATGTGCTATTAAATCAAAGCGCTGTTTTTCAACATAAATAACTCTGATGCTTCTATAGCAAGTAAAAGAGAAGGTAGGGCAATTGGAACTTGCTGTAAGACCAATATTTTTGAGTCTTCTGTACCAAATACAGTAATCCAGAAGAAATTACAGCGAATTTGTCACCACTTTTGCAGGGATGAAAGCCACTTCCCCATACTTATTAAATAAAAGGCTCACTCAAGATCCTCTGCAGAATGATTTATAAAGCATGCTAAGAACCATTACCGCCAGTCAGCATAAAAGAATTGAAGACTAAATAGAGACAGATACAACCAAGAAAATCCCTGAAGCAAGATATTCCATCGTTCCTGCCCCCTACCCAATTCCTCAAATAGCCAGAGGCTATCCAGTCCCAGGAATTAACAGCTAATTAAAAATACAACAGCTGAGAAAAAAAAGTTGAATAATAAAGATCCAAACTAAAAGTAAAGGGAAGGTCCAAGATGAAGTGTATAGTGTATTCAGGTCTTGGTCTCAAAGAACAGGTCAGGGCTCTCTGGTCCAGGTTTAACCTTACTACAGCTTTATTATAAAATAGTTTGGGTTGGAAGGGACTTTTATAGTCCAAGCCCTGCAGCAAGCAGGGCCATCTCCCCCTAGATGATGTTGCTCAGAGCCCTGTTCAACCAGATCTCAAACGTTTCCAGAGACAGGACATCCAGCACTCCTACAGTAGTGGAGGTGGATGTTAAAGAGTGCAAGAGACTTCAGCTGTTTTAGTGCAAATCATGCCCTGCATTGGCCTCCGGCATGGAAACCAGACCCTGGCTCCTTTGCCAGGCTAGGGTGGAAATAGCCTTGCTGTACTGACTCCAGCCCTTAGCACTGAGATGGCACTGCACATTCTGAAAACACATCATAACACATCTAAAAGTCATTACATAAAGGCTATATTATTAACACACATGAACAACCTGCAGACAACAGGGACTACCCTTGCCCTCACCTCTATGTCTATTTTATTCATGAGGATTGAAGCTCAGAAAAATTAAATTACCTAAATGATAACTTAACCACAAAACCACACAATCTTTCTGTGCTTTCCTTTCTACTCCTACCAAGGTCAGATGTTCATCTATCAATCATGCTGTCTAGATGTCAGAAAGACAAAAAGGAGTCCAAGCAGAGAGGCAGGGAGAAGATATTTTCCAAGGTTATTTTCTTCATATTTTCCAAGGTGCACAGCTTTTGTTGTTTTACCTCTCATTCTTTTGCTTCATGAGCTGAAGGATTCTACAGAATCATAGAATTGCTTAGGTTGGAGTTGGCAGTGTCACCTACTGCAGCAGAGAGAAGTGTTTCTCATTTTGCCTGTGCTGTGTAACCCAGTGCTCCTGCACCTGCAGCCAGGGGCTGCAGAAAAAGGGGATTATGGACAAAGAACTCAAAATCCAAAAAGTTGGGCTGAGAATAAAAATACCATTGACATTTTCAATTTCTCTGTTATACAACAAGACAGTTCCCACTGAAGATGTAAGTTTCTCTCTCATGTTTATCAAACTACCACAGGGGGAGTGAGAAAAAAAAACCTGCTGTTTTTGGTTCAGCTCTGCAAAATAAACAGAATTCCTAATCACAAACACAATCATGCAGGTAGCCCCACTCAAAGAGCAGTCTCCCAGCAATTAAAAGAAAATTTTTCATGTTGATTAAGTCAGATAGACACCTTTGTGTCTATTGAACCGGCCCAAAGGCAAATCTGCTTCACATGAGGATTAACGGAGCCAACACTGAGTCTGAGCAGTACTTAATGCAGTACCTCAGGCTACTAGATGCTATATGAATATAAATAACAATAATAACAGCCTGATTACTTGGGAAAAGCCCACAGAGATGAACTTCAAAATGTTTGCTGTCATAAACTCATCCTCGCTCTCAGAGAGGATGTTTCTGCTCATGATATTACACCCTCCCCACTCTGGGCACATGCAAACAACACCTTAGTTATCCAAATGCTCCCTCCTCAAGGGCAGTTATTCCACATGAAATCCCACACTCCATGGGACAAGCTGATAAAGTCTTGGCTGATTTTCAAAAGGATCTGCAGGCACTGCAGCTGGAGTCTCTGGAAGTCAATTTGGAGAGTCTCCCAATCCTCTGGTAGGAAAGGTGCTCCCAGGGAACACATTTCACCAACATACATGATATTGGCTGATCTGGTCTCTGTCCTCCACATCTGCCTGGGCTTTTATCAGTTGCCCTTGGTTGACCCCTCCTTACTCCTTGTGAGCTGTGCCCTGGGGTTGCTTGCTTATGTGTTGGTTCTGCTGATCTCAAAGCCTTACATTTAGGCTGATGCCATCAGGAGAGGTTTTTGGGCAGGAGATTCTAAAATACTCAGGAAAAAGGTGGAACCCTGTGAGGAGGGAGGACAAATGTTCCAAGGGGAGTCACTGCAGCAGAGAGAGGCTAATCCATCTATGCTCTACCTGGTTTTCTTTCATGGAAACGTGCCTCCCCAGTAATTCAGATTTATCCTCTAGGAGAACTTATCTCTGGTGTTGGGCTATAGGTAAACTTCAAGAGGTTAGTGTCTATGAAAGTTATTTCAAACTATCCTTGCTTTTACTACAAACCTGCTCTCTTTTTATCATCTTCCTCTGCATTGAGTGGCAGGAACAGAAATGCTGAGCACTTGTCCTAGTATTTAATAGGTCTTAATTCCACTGGCTAAAAATGGAAAATAATTCTAGACTAAAAAGGGCAGGGGGAAATCAGATGTCCTTGACTGTAAAAATCTCATAGCTTTAATTACTTATGACATGTACAAGAATATCAACTTTTAAGTGCTCTGGCATCGGTAGAAAAGCACATCCAGATCTGACCAGTCATTAGCAGCTATTGCTTGCTTTTAATTCACTAGATATTTAGATGTGATTTATTTCTCATCATGAGCTGGACAAATATAAGGCAACATAAATAGGCTGCATCATTAAATAAAGCTCTTTTTCTTTTTTTTTTTTTTGCACTGTTGCACATGATTTTCTTCAGAAACAACTTTCAGTAAGTTGATTCTGCTGTTTCACTTCAATAATAGGTTTCAATACCTTGACAGGCTGAAGGATGTTTTTCTCTGAAAGAAATTCATTGGCATTATAATACCTACCAGGCATTAGAAACTAGACTGTGGTATTAATAAATGCCTGTCGCTTTTAGCGATGGCTTGTCCCATCTGCTATTAATTTCTGAAAAGATAAGACAAGACCATAACCATTTGGCTCAGTGCAGTAAGGTGAAAACTCACACATCAGGAAGTACTTCTTCCCATATATTTGAAGGTAGTGTGTAATAAAAAAATGCCATTTCCAATAAGCTCAGAAAAAAAACCCCTACCCCAATAATAAAATCAGAACTAGAAGAATTCATTGCTTAGCTGTGAAGCCTCTGGCAGTTTGAGCAGACTATTTAACTTAAATCCACTTCTGCCACACGAGTTTGAAAGGCTCTATAATTAGAATTATACCTAGGGATGTCAAGAAGTTTTTGGATAGTGAAAGCTGTCTCTCTAAGTTTCAGATTTGTAGGTATATTTGTCTGAGTAAAACCCAGTTAAATGGGTTTTCTGGCACCTGGCACATCATCCTTTACCATTCTTTGCTCATGTTTCTGGATGCTGGATTTCTTTCTCACCCCTACAGCCATAAATTAAATGTACCCCCAGAATACAAGGAAGACAC